TCTATTCACAATTCCCAAGGCGCGTTGCGCCATCCCGAGCGAGATGTGGGGGTCCAACGGGCAAAGGTGATGACACGTAGATTCCGTAAGCAGAGCGACCCGTGCGTCGTAAAATGTCCGCGCGAATATTATACGAGGATGTTTTCGTCTTGCGGGAGAAATCGGTAATTACGATTACTAACGAAATCAAGTCGCCATTGACCCCGTTTGGACTTCGCGGGTGCGCTGCCTGGCACGCGCGCGAGTTACTTGCGTATTTAATATTTCATTAATAACCGCGACCATTAAAACGCCTTGTACTTCCCTATCACTGTTGCACAAGTTTGCGAAAGGCTTCTTGAGAAAAGATTAAATTACATTTAATAAGATTCAGTTTGTGGTGTAATAAAAATTATAAAACTACCAATTAACATATACCTATAGCAAACGAAACTATCAAAATGCAACTTTTGCTCTTTTGCTTGAATCGTGGTTTTATTAATCCGGATATATATGACGATTCATATTGCATCGACGAATAAGATAAAAAAATAGGATACATATAAAGTGCATTAAGGTTGTTATAAAAAACTAATTATACTTGCGGCTATTAAATCAAACTCTTTCCGAACAGGCACGGCTGAACGCTGCACCGACAAAAATGCTTCCACGGACGGGAGGAGAAAAAAAACGAGCTCGTGTATAAGTAGCTGATGTAAGAATGGCGCTTTGAAATTGACTAATTGCAAGGTGCGCGTGGTAATAGCTGACTAATTGCGCGAATCGCGCAGAAAGGAGAAAGCACGTGGGCCAAAACTAAAGACTCCGCGCGCACGGGTCTCCCCTGATCGAGGGGGGAGGGAAATACCCGGCTCATTTTCGTGTCGGTTTCCCACGAGGAATAATGTAACGCTTAATTATCCTCGGGGCATCTCAAGAAGGAAATTACACCGTCCTTGAGGAGCCGTTGCCACCGGCGACGCGGCGTTCGAGCAACGACACAGGATTTTAATTCGCGATGACGAGCGAGGTCGAGACCATCATCCGGACGTCCTCCGATCGCTCAGCCTCGACTTTTGACGATTCCCCCCTTTCAGTTGGTTTCCGGTACCACCCGGGTATTAATTGAATTGCAAAACACTGAAATAACGGCTCGAAACACGTAACCCGCGAACCGGCCTTTCCCCGCACGCGGAAGAAGACGCGTGCATCGCACGCGTATAGCACACGTCCGCCCCAAAGGAATGCAAAGTTTTACGAGATATATTACGATACACAACCGATTATTTCGCGTTACCATAACGGGACACCTACGCGCGTCTCGGGTATCTTCGATCGCGGCATCGGGAAGATGACGAACAAGCTGCGGGTTGAATTTTTTTTTGGGTAAAGAGAGAACACCGTTCCGCTAAAATAGCCATGTACCGATGAAGCGACCCGATCGTTATGACACGTCATATATCTGTTATGCACTCGACGGATGAATTCATGAGGACGAGGCAGGAATTAAATTAAATGCCGCGCCACACGTTACGTCATATTGGAGTTATTGGAATTATTATTAATCTGCGAATTGGGAAATAATTTCTGGTAGAACACCTTTTCGCTACCTGGAATCCATTTTTCTGCGCGTAACACATTTTAGATTTTAATGCAAACAGTTGCAAATCCCGTGTGACGGGAGAGCGATGTTACCTAAGCAAAAAAACTATTGTAATTTCGATTTAAATTATTCACATTCCTAATCAAAAAACAGAAAAATGCTGTTTTAATTTGTATATTTCTTGAATTATATATTATTTTATCGTATATATCTGTTTAATATGCTGTATGAATAAACAAGACTTATAGATATGCAACTACAGATAGTGCATTCTTGCATAAAAATTAATATTAATTACAGAAACAATCAATAAAATGCGAACGTCGAGGAATCACTTTCTGTTCGATATAAGAATCCCGGATTAATGTTGCGAAATCTTCGGCAAAGAAATGTAGACTACTTCTTTATTTGCAGCTGTTTCGCCTATAAAAATAACTTCGAAACGATTTTAAATCGCGTAATTAAGACGACACGCACTCGCGGTGTATTTAATTAAGTTCAAATTACAATTGCCACATAATTTTGCAAAGGCTTGTCACTTCAACGCTGTAGCTTAACTACCTACGCAAGGCCGCCGTGGGCCTCATTTTACGATCTTATCCCGAGATTATACCCGAGAAGATTACCGGTGTTATTTTTGTACGCTGGTCCTTTTTTTATCCCGCAAAAATTGGCGCGCGTGGGATCTGATGTAATTCATGTATCATTATTGTGAACGTTTAACGGGTCGAAAGTCGACGGCTGTCACGGCGCGACATCACGTTTTTATCCGGTACAGGATATTCGGTAAGCGATTCTGCATCACGAGGACGCGCGGAATGAAGGCAGTCGAGGCTTCCTTGGCGAAAGTGTCTTATAAGGTCCCAATAAGTGTCCAAATTACAAATACGGCATTGGAAAACTGAAAAGGTTTTGCGGCCAATTTAGTCAGATTTCCAAATCATCCTCGAGTCAAACTCGATCTCGATCTCTTCGCTCTATGCAAGACTTGCCCAAACTATAGTTTGCATTAACATCGCGTCTATAGTCGTTCCGTGCATTTTTACGCGGACCGGCGGAAAATGATGGATGGGATTTTCATCAATCGCATTTCTTCTTTTTTCTTCCTTTCTCAGACGCGCTCGGGTGAACTCGAACGAATTCTGGAGCCGAAGACGCATGACGTCTGTCCCGATATTTCGGACGGATCTCGAACGAAATGTTATACACGCGTTTTACGAATTCTCGAGGAGAGAAGGCGAGTCGCTCTCGCGAGAGCGTACGTAGAACGAGATAAATAGCACTTTCCAAAGTATATGACCCTCATGAATATTTCACGTGTATCGGAACGATTTTTTCGTTATTTGTCCAGGAGCAACGTATTATTCGCATACATATATTCTTCGAGGAGGATACTTCGGAATCGGTCTCACCGGCGGTATTACCTAATCCCACTTGTGGTCGAATAACCGACCTACGCGGTAAAAAAAAAATGGTCAATTACGGCGAAGATGATGGTACCACGGTGCAAAAAAAATCCCTGGCGCCGATGATTCAAGCCTTTGGGTCGAATCGAGGCTCCAAAGGAGGATCTCATTGGCCGCTATCCCACGTTCGTCTCGTTTAATTGATACTGATATTCTTCTCACAAAATACCTTTATAAATTACGAGAAGAATCTGGTCGACTATAGGATTTTACATATTTAAGATTAGCATTTTGAAACAATTTTGAAGATAGCGCAGAGGGCGGTTAGACCCTTGAAATGGGTTTCGCGAGACAGAGAGAGAAAGAGAGAGAGAGACTCTTTCTTATGTTCTCTCCCATAAATCTGGCGCGCGCTTTTTGCGTCCACGTTAAATTATTCGTGCTGCGAAAGAAGCGGACGGAGAGGAGCGAATAGACAATCTGCTCCGTCATAAACAACGACCGGTAGGTGAATCACGACGCGATATGAAAAATTCAAAAATTTATTGTAGTTTATTCAATCGCGTCTGCCGGATCTTGGCCTCTCAACTGACCTTCGGTATCAGACAGCCTTCCGGCGATTCGGACGCGAGGGTCATAAAATTGTCCATTTCTTCCACTGATCTAACGAAACTAGAATGCCGATGGAAGATCGTAAAAGTCTTTCTCAATACTTTTCCGCGTGCACGCGGAAGAGGCGAAACTCGTTTTCTTGGGGTATTTTTAGGCACACCGCTCACATACGCGCTCCCTTGTGGTGGCCATTAATTTTTATTGATGAAACGCATTAATCTCGGCGCACGCTTTTTTTCCTCGCTGCCGAGAGCGCGCTGTTATTGCACGTTGCGGTCGAGAAAATATTATTGATTAATTGGAGAGTCGCCGGCGATGTGGGCCGTATTTAATTGTAATTTATCTCGAAGGGACTCTCCCGCGTCTTCCGTCTCTTTCGAAAACGTCGCGCGATCGATCGGAGAAAGGAAACGGCGCGGATACACTTAACATTAAATCTCTAACGTCCTACATTCCGACATTATAATTTTTGTGCAGACCGATACCCACGGTGGGCGGATGACTTTTCGTCGCTAATAATCCCCCCTCCCCGCGCGAGGATATTTAAAAAATTCGCAAGACAGAGAGAGAAAGAGACTCTTTCTTATGTTCTCTCCCATAAATCTGGCGCGCGCTTTTGCAAGAAACACAAAAGTTTCCGCTTCAAATTTTTTAAGAAAATTAATATTTATAGAGAGTGCAATGTGCAAATACTTATAAATTGTCCGCTACGTACTCTGCGTACTACAATCAGGGGTCTGTTTTTCAACATTCGATAATTACGGTGAAATATAAAGTAACATTTCTGCTAACTAATTGTAAGCTAAATTTGGAATTAATTGAGAGACCTTCGATTACTTAAAAAAATTGACTTTGCTTGACTAACATCAGAAACTTCTTACGAAGAAACAAACGGGACGATTATTTGGCAGTCCTGCACTAATACAATGCAAATTGACATTATTTCTTTCTAAATCTTTATTATTATTAATTTTTCCTTACAAAAATACATAAAAGCATCTCTGTAAATTAAACGTTAAACAAACGCCGTTGAAAAACAAACCCGCTGCAGGTTGAAGACACACGGGGTTCGCGCGGTACATACAATCTCGACAAACTTCGCTGCCGCAAACAAATGGCCTCACTCGCGGACAATTTATAACGCGACAGTTGACGCGCAGGTGTACCAAGAAAGTGTTTTTCGATGTCTACAGCATCCGGTGTCGAGCTTGTCGAAACGTTTACCGGTTTCGGTACTTATAGATACTTGGAGTACCCTCGCGATGACGGTGCAAGCCACGCGGAGGCTGCGGCAGCCGCGGCGCGACCGCGCTTATACGTTTAAGTGCGCGACGAGGCGCGAGGGTACGTAATCGCGTACCCTCGTGTTTCGGCAAACAAATCCGAGTGCGTGTACTTACTTAATGTGTATCCTCCCGCGGAGTGTACGTGTGTAACGCGCGTGTCGCTTAAAAGAAAGTCAATATAACTGGCGCTGGTTTCGTATCCCTTCTTCTCTTATACCATCCTCCGGATCTGGCCAGTACCCCCCTTCCTTTTTGGTGCGCGGATCGCCGCTGTCCTTCGATATCCTATGCCGGTCAACACGTCACAATTGATTCCCCTCGGTCCATCCGAGATGCCTCACCAATTTTACTCCACGGCACTCTCGTCCACGGCCGCGGACGGGACGGACCACGCGCGCCGATTCGACGTTTATAACTCGAATGCGAATCTCCACGGGGTGACGGTCGCTCGTCTGGCGAACGGAATTTCCCACTAAAAATAAAACAGAGAGATATGTTAAAGCGTTATCAGACTGCAATATAAAACGCGATGGTTCTTTCAACGTTTCAAGCATGCTAAAAATAAAAAAAATAGAGAAATTAAAGTGATATCAGACTACAATATCAAACGCGCGATGGTTCTTTCAATGTTTCAAGCACCGAGCCGAAACTGAAGCTCAAAGTTATAATAATAACAATAAGAAAAAAGATGATGATGACATAATAATAAGATGACGGTGATATAATAATAATTTAAATAAATCTCACCTTATGCAAAATTAATACCGATGCGCGCGGACGCTGCGAATTCCTGGAGCGCACTTCATCAAAAAACACTTTCTTTTTCGTTAATTAATCGTAAAGATTATTCCTGCGTCGACGTTAAGGAAAAGTCATTCCACCGTTCGGCGACAAATATCACGTCAAACGACACACGCCTGTCACATCCTGTCTTCGCGATCGTCCGGCGCACTCCTAAGTTATTTCCTGAAAGCGCTGCATCTCATAACCGTGTATCACGATACTTTGCGAGATCTCATCTTGGTACCAATATCGCACGTATTGTATTACCTTACATCGCAGATGTTCGAGGTAATGATTATGAAATATAATAATTCCTCAATAACGATCCTAATAAAAAGAAAAAAAAACAGAATAATTATATATGACATTGACCCACGTACATACACTAACACGATGACTGAATTTCCACTGACTCATGCAACGATTTTCTATGACGAGTCCAAGAGTGACGAGTCAGTTGTCGATCACTAGATTTTACGTCACGCAATTAAAAATACTAGGAATTATATGTAAATTGCGAAGCTTCGGGCGATAATAAAATCTTGAACTCACTCGAGACTATAACTCGCGTCAAATCTCAAGATAGAATTCTATTTATAATTTTGTACATACATCATGCGTTTATGTTAATATATGGTGTATTTATATGTGCGTTTATATATTTATTTCATAAAAAATGTTTCTGCGTATTGCATAAAATTATAAACAGTTCGTTTAAACAGACTTAATTTTTTATTCAATCTTCCGGGATGCGCCCTAAATTGTCGAAAGAATGTAAGTATATAAAAGAAAGTGCGGAGATGTGGGGGGACTGTCTAATTAATTCCGCAGTGTGTATGTGTATTATCTATGCGAGAGAGAGGTGTCAGATAAATTTCGGCGGATCCATCGAGAGATTTCGAACTCATCGAGGGCCAAGAGTAAGTCGGCAAAGCATGCCAATCGCTATAATATCATTATTGTCGCGAAAATCGCAATTTCGCAAGTTGTACCGTCGTAAATGCCACACGCGTTAGGGGCCGAGAAAGATCTCACGGTCACGGCGGCGGGATGATCCGGGTGTCCCCACACCCGGAATGAGTCGGCGTTATAAAAGAGAAAAAAGAAAAAACGAATAAAACCAAATTTAAATATGTGTACGCCTACGCGTAGGCGGACGTTGTGGAACCGCCTCGCGGCATCTCTCGAATTTCTTTGCAGGGAATTCGGTTAAAGCTTTAATTAACAATTGGCCATGCATCATCTTCTACCTGCACCGTCGGCGCGTCTTGCCGAGAATTACAGCATATCGCGCTTTTTATAAATATAAAAAATTGCTCGCACCCCTGCACGATAATTCGTTCGTGCCTCAGAAGTGGAGGATCTTTTAAGTTATTACACGCGCAGCTTATACCAACGGAAACATTACTCAGGCGACGCGAAAGATCAATTAAAAAAAAATTGATCAAAAGTGAATAACCCGATCTTTAGATATTTTTCTGTGACGATATACCGAAAATCGAGTGCATTACATCACAAGGAGTTGAGAAGGACTTAAAGTATATTGGTGACGCACGAGGTGGTTTGCATAAAAATCAAAGAATCATGCATCCTGGAAAGAATCAAAAGGTAGTAAAACTGAGCATGTTCAAATATTCCCAGAAATACCACAAAACTTCTGAGATATGTAATAATTTTATTACACAATATTGTATTACTAGAAAAGTATGTGTCTTCGCTCTAAATAGCTTTGAAGAAATAGCTTGAGAATTAATTAGAATTTTTATTTTAAAACAAAATTTTTAAAAATACGAGGAATAAAAAATGGACTTTTTATCCTCTCTATTATTTATTTAACGTTAATATTTCTTTTCTCATCATTTTTTAATCATATGCATTTGGTTAACTATAAGAAAAAAAATATTAAAAATAAATTTATACAAGCGCAAAATTTCTTAAAAATAAACAATATATTTTTCTCAGCTAAAAAAAAATTATATATATATATCACTATTGTATAAAAAAATATAATAAATAAAAAGGAAAAAGAAATCAGAGATTTAATAAAATTTTAACTATCTTATAATGATCACTTCATAAACAAAAAGTATATGTAATTAATACATATGTATGTAATGAAATACATATGTAACAGTGGGTGACAAGTATGTACAAAACTTACAGAAAATGATAAATTAAATCGTGACATATATCACGATTGTTACATATATCTGTTTTCTGCGTCATAGACATTTTCCTAGTCCTTCGACTGTGAAAAAACGACAGAAATATGCGGTCGTATATCACAAGCCATTTTAAAGATCCTAAATTTCGTTAACTAGAGATTACATGTAATTTCACATCACTCAATTCTCAGAAACTATGATAATATATGTTAAATTAAATTTTACTACACTGAAAAACTTTCACCACATCCGCATGTCCCTTTAATATTTGGATTATTGAATATGAATTCGGAGCTCAATTTGTTTTCGACATAATCCATTTCTGTTCCAAGAAGAGAAAGCTGTGCTTTTCGATCGACGAATATGCGAACGCCATCCTGAATCACTTCCTCGTCAAGCTTTGATTTTTCTTTCGCGTAATCTAGAGTGTAACTCAAGCCATTGCATCCCCTTTGCCGTACGCCAACCTTAAGACCGATCTGTAAATCAAACATACGCATTAAATTCTAGTAAATATTCTGGCTTAAAAAGTTCGTACAAATTTTTGTGCCCTAATTATTAAAATTACACATATCTCAATTACTGCTATATAATTCAGTACATTATACCCATACTTACATATTCACTCTTGTCTTTTAAAATCTCCTGAATCTTCTTAACAGCGTTGGGTGTCTAAAAAGCAAAATATTTCCTCATCAGTATTTACATGAAAATGTATCCTTGAAAACGAATAAGGTTATAATTCATTAGCGTGTCGCAATGTTATGTCGAAATAGTAGAGCACAGGCAATTACGCAATAAACGCGAAATAAAATGCGTCGCAAAATCCGTTGCAATTAAATGTGGCCAAACAAACTCGTTCAGGGATGTATTCTGCATTATTTTTCTCTCTGAATTTATTTATCATTGTGTTGCAACGTGAATAACAAGGGCAATTGAAACGGTTGCTATCGCAACAAAAAAAAATCAAGAAAAGGACGTGGAAAGCGGGAATTCGGGGCTGTATAATTGATAACACGCTAACCAGGATGAGCGCGGCGCGAGTCGAAAGAATTTTTCTCCCTTTCACAGCTCGTATCGTGGCGGCCGCCACTGTGGTAGACGCCATCTTGAATGAGCGACAGGCGATGGATCTGATCAGCTGATCGGTGCACGTCACAGTTGTCACGTGTGAGTATGCGGCCGCGTCCACACTGGCGAGAGTGGCGAGTATAAAGAGCCGCACTCGCAACGCGAATCTCTTTAGCTGCACTTTTGCACTGTTTTCTGCCTTCCTCGTGCCTTTCCTTTTTCCTTTTTAAAGAATAAATTTGCAAGTTGAAAAGGATGTTCGTTCACAGAGGTTCGCAATGCTTTTTCAGACGAACTCCGGAATTCCGGAGATCGCCAGGAAGATTATCAGATTTAATATTCTTAATTACTCAAACTATCTAACCCATATTGTATGTACAGTGCATCTGCACTCGGGAACAGACATGATGCTCCTAAAAAATGTGATTGGTCACTAATCTATAGAGTACGATTGAATACAATGATTCATTCTACCAAATACTGGTGATTGTTCAGTGAGCCACGAGCGATAAGAAAAGAGAATATTTACAATGGTAAAAAACGATTTTTAAAAAAATTATATAATTAATATACTTATTACATATTGACGTTGTTTAATTGCGCGTTAAACGATTTGGAGCGCTATTTTATGATGCAAATATACAATTGTGAGTAAAAGAAAAATATGTTTTTTTTCTAGCACGGCCGAGTGAAGGTACGTACGACGGCGGAACAGGAGGAGATAAGGAAGCGAGAAAGGGCGGCAAAAGTTGCCCAATACAAGGCTGACATCGCCGTGGTGTTCCAAAAGGTTTCGACTTGTCCTATATGCAACCTGGACTTGTGACATGCAGTTTGCATGCACGTCCATTATTACGTTTGTTTACATTGTGTCGTTTACATTTCAGAGGAAAGACAAGATATGGGACGACGAGTTGTTGCTAGTCACCAGGCGTATGCTGTTGTGCAACTCCGACATTTATACACTGTGGAACGTCCGTCGCGAAGTTTTCGAGAACAACAAATGGTAATGCACTAACCAGATACTCCGATTTGTACGGCGAACGAAACTTAACTTGATGAAATCGAACAGGAGCGAAGAGGATTACAAGCAACTGCTTGAGAATGAGATGACCTTGACCGAGCAGTGTCTCAGGGAAAATCCCAAGTCGTACAGCGTGTGGCATCAAAGGTGTTGGGTGATGGAACGGATGCTCGAACCGGATTGGAAAAAGGAATTGTCCCTGTGCGCGAAATGCCTAAACATAGATGAGAGAAATTGTTAGTATGCGCCATATATTTTATCATTAATGCAAGCAGTGCGTGCGCTGCAATGAAAATATATACTTTAATGTAAGCCCTCGCTTTTCCAACATATGTTGGCACATATAAAGATTTCCTTTTACCCCTTTTAGTTCACTGCTGGGATTACAGAGAGTTTGTTGTGCAAAAAGCTGGAATCTCTAACGAGGAGGAGTTCGAATTCTCCACCACAAAGATATTGAGTAACTTTTCAAATTATTCGTCTTGGCACTATAGAAGTCGTATATTAACCAAAATGTTTGGCACTACGTCTGATGAGATACCGATTGTGGACGATAGATACAGAGAAGGTATGTTTTTCGTAATATTTTATGTTTCTCAATATAATAAAATATGATAAAATAATAAAATATGTAATATTTTCCAGAGCTCGACCTGGTTATGAATGCAACGTTTACCGATCCCAATGACACTAGCGCATGGTTCTACCAAAGATGGCTTTTAGATAAGTGCATGACAACATGTAGGCTCTGGCGTGCTCAAATTAAGAAAGACACGGCTATTATTGTCATCGACAACAACATACTGATTGAACCAATATCGCTGCTATTACTTGTAAATGGCGAAACTGTCGATGCGCGATGGCAATTATATCCAGATGAAAAGTTCGCAAAGCTACGAATTGCGGAGTTCGCCAGTTCGTTAGAAGATTTAGATCGTGCCAAAGAAGTTTCAGTAAAACTGCAGGAAACAGTATATCAGCTTTCGTATTCGAAGCTAGCAGGCGAATGGATTTACAAAGATAATTTAAGCTTGCACAAACGAAATAGTAACGATGAGCAATTAAATGAACAGTTAAAGAGCTACAACCAACTTTCCGAGATGGAACCAAATAACAAGTGGACCTTATTAACCGAAGTATTACTGATGAAAAAGATCGATTTCAAAAAATTTTATACTGACATATTAAATAATCTGTCGGCGCTATCGAAAGTCGACGGTCTTCGCAAGAATTATTACAAGGATTTGCGTAAGTAATATTTTTGACAATAAAATATTAATGGCTTCCCTCTTGATATTTTGGATATTGCAATTGGCTTTTTATTTGCTTGTATACATGCTTCTAACAATGTTGTCTGTTATTTTAGGAAGCAAACTCTTAGTGGAGTATAAACTGCTTGAAATGTGGAAAGAAGAGAGCAATTTAGAAATACACTCAAAGATCGACTTATCGGGATTAGACTTGACAAAATTGCACAACAATCATTACTTCAGCTTCTTCGAGGAAGTGAATCTTGGTGCAAACCAGTTAGACAATTCCTTGTATCAGCTTTCCACATTACAACGATGCGCGAAATTGTCACTGTCCAGCAATGACTTGACGTCATTGAGACGTTTTCCTACTCTGTACAATCTCGAAGTTCTCTCTTTGAGAAATAACAAGCTGACGAGCACGAAGGAGATAGTCAACTTAATAGAACGGCACAAAAATTTGAGAAGACTAGACTTACGAAATAATCCAGTGTGCGAAGAGATCGACATGGCCAAAATTCAGAACGCAAATTCTCACGTCGAAATATGTTTAAAATAACATCGGGGAATACATCTAATAGGCAATGTACTGAAACGTACTTAATTGTAATTTTTTATGCGATCTATTGTCCGCTGTTCTTACCGTTTTTTATCATAAGAATATTAAAAAAAAAATTCAGATACATTAAGCGAATGATTTTATCACAGCAACTTAATTGTAACATCTCTCAGTCTAGCGTCAGAAGAGGCTCCCATACATCACTACGACATTATTCTTTCTTATTCTGTTTTACACATATCTATAATAAACTCTATAAATACAAACAAATTAATAAAATTGTGATATCGTTGAATATCCCTCTTAATCGAATCGCTACCGCAATCGAAGTTTTATTATACGCTTCCCGCATAAATAATACTTGGATCACATTTCTCACTAATACTACATGTTCTGATAGTAACCGGAATAATTATCCGAGTCCAAGTCGGCCGGAGTTAAGGATGAATCACCTGTGCTGCACGGGATTGTCGGTATGTTTGATCCTTGAATCGTGAAGCCGTGATAATCATCCGAGTTGATCGGTTTCAAAACGGGTTGTAGATTCGCCTCGGGTGTCGGGCACTCGTCCAACAAGCTGTCCGTCATGTGTTTCTTGAAGAGCTGGGTCTCGCCCGACGCGAGATCGGATTGAGTATCCAAGCTGATGAGACTAGTTTCGTCCTCGCCTTTGCTAACCTCCAGACTGTCGTCGCCGATGAAGGACGGGAAGTCGAATGTCGGCGACGGCGTCACGGAATCTTCGACCAGTGACGTTCTCATTAAATCACCCGACAGATCCGTCATCACGCCACCGTTCATGTTGTCGATCGAATGCGGATATATCTGTTGGGGAATTTAAAAGTGTTTCGCAAAGTGCAATTAAAAGGATGAAAATTACATTTAATCATTCTCACCTGCGGAATGATCGGCGGCGGTAATTGGTAGCTCTCGATGTCCTCGCTATCCAAATTAGTAGGCACCCTCTGACTGTGAGATATCAGCAGCGGCGTCCTCTCGATCACTTTATTCACATCCTCCCTGATCTTCTCCTTGAAGTCCATCATTTTGTTTTTCAGTTCCTCCGCTTGCTTTATAATGTCGGTATTTTTGGCTTGCAAGTTGTCCAGTAAAGTTATATCTTCGCACATGAAGTGCAAACTCTGCATTTAAACATTAATTATATAAATTAATGTGTCCACGAATAATCAATCAACGTAAAGATGAATCAACAAATATTACTTCGCATATCATAAGAGCTGATTCCCATGTATTCGCTGGAACGCACTCCCCTGACATGTACGCATTAAAGTCCTTCTCAGCCATATTCAAAGACTTGGCGGTTAAATTTTCGATAAACGACACCGCGCAACACTGTAATGTTACGAATACTTGTTGAAAAATAATAGTAATAATGTCTCTTACCTCCAGAGGCAGAACGAAAGAAATTTGCGAAACATCCAATGTAATATTTAGCAAACCGTACCAGATTTGTGAAGTAATATCCTCCTTCTCCGGTCATTAATCTACTAGCGTTGCAAAACCTCGTGATAAAATTTATGTTGCTTTTGAGACGCGCGGGATTAGCCTTTAAAACGATGAATATAAGCGCCGGAAGAAATTCATCGGCAGACGCTGGCCCGTCGACGGATTGTTGCAACAACAAGAATATATTGCTACAACAGTGAATCACGCACGCAAGTTTCTCTTGGGGCGCTTTAGCGGAATCCATATTTAAAAGATCTGAAAGAAATTCGTGTTTTTACATTATTCGTGCTGCAATTGCGAATTGCAGAATTTTTGATAACTGATTAATATGATTTTTTTTTATAATTTCATTAGTAATATAACGAACCTGTAATAGATGTGTAAACAAGTTCTCTAACGTCCGAGCTCGTCTCGTGAATCCTACATTCCAGATTCTTACCGCTAATCCAATTTAACTGCCGTATCCTATTAGGAAGAAAAAAATCACTGATAATATTCTTTAAATATAAAAACACTTTAAGCTGTTCTAAAGTCACGATATAAACCTTTTCTGTATAGCCAGGTCTTTTTCTTCATCCGACGTGAACGGGGGGCAAAAAAGGATTCTGTACAACAAAGTCATGGCGTATCTTTCGACGTAATCTAACAACTTCTCTTTAATGTCTGGCGGTATATCTGTAACGACGTATTCGCAATGTAAAATCGAAAAATTCTCTTCTTCAAGAGAGAGACACAAGCAAATATGTATATAGAAACCTGCGTATTTGGTGCTGTTCTCCAAGCGCTTTCCAAACACGTGATAAAAGTTTTGCGTTATCTCCGACAGCTCCTCTATCCTCTTCACGTCCTTGTTCTGGAGTATGTCCACCACAAACGAATGTATGCATTTTCTCACGTCCTTCTCCACCGGCGTCTTAGCTATGTACTGCAGCAAATCTTTATTTTCCGCCTTGACTTTCTCGAGATCTGGATTGTCCTTCAGCAGCTCGTGATACAGTTCCTGATATCCCTGAACTTGAGAACATATAAACATATATATACACATATCTCTAATAAACAATCGTTTACAAATCACAGTGTAAAACGTAGCGCAGCTTTACCTTTAGCAACAGGTTTCCTGAACGAAATGTTCAACAATTTGTACTTCTTCTCCTGCTGCACTTTCTTCTCCTCGTAGCTCTTGTGGCTTCCACTCGTCGATCGACTGACATTGTCTCTGTAAAAATAAAGCAAGAGGAGCCATAGAAGAATTCGACACAACTCGCTCGTGGGATAACGATTGCCATCTTCTAAGGAGTATTGTGCCGGACGTGTATTAGTGTTCTGCTGGAAGATCACTAATTTTAACCAGGCTATTAAAAATTCTTTCAAAATAGACATTCTCTAAAAAAAAGAACATCAAAACTGACTCTTCTCACCGGAGATGTTTTCACTGAGCCCAAGAAAATTATGTTTTCCCAAAAAGGAGGTTGTCAAAATTTAAAGCGCTCGCCCGGAGATTCGTCGGAATAAGCCGGAGTCCCCGGGCGAGAACCCGGGAGAGATGGCAATCGCGATAACGAGAGATCTTTCTTACGCATCCGAGGTCTGCGCGTGCGACACACGTTCAGCCTGAGCCCGCCGTTTCTGCAGGTGCTCCCGGTGGCACTTGCTGCAGTAGCCCTCCCATTCCGCGTTGCCGTAGAACCCGCAGCCGTTCTTGCACTTCAGATCGGCCTCGTCGATGCGCAGAGTCGGCGTCTTCGTCGAGTACATGGCGAACGAGGTGCACGCCGTCCGAGGGAACCAACGTCCTCGACGCTGACGACGGAGAGCCGCGACCCCGCACTGCCAACCCCGCCTAACCTAACCTAAACTGTCCATCCGAATCCCGAGTTGCAAACCGAACGCGCCCGCTACTCTTTGATCGCCGTCGAGATGTTGGATATCATCCTCCCGGGGTTCTCGCGACCATGAAGATCTCGCTAGCGCCGGTTTAACGTCACTGTTAACTGAAAACGGAAAAGATTGACGTGAGGAAGAGATTGACAGCAGCAGAGCAGAAGTAAATATACGGCGTGGGTCAGACAATTCGGATTAGATTATAGGTTGGAGTCGCGTAGTTGGATTGAGAGGCTCGTTGCGATTGTCGACAGCCAATCGGCACCGCCGATAAGCCCGTCGAGGAATTGAGATATCGGCTTAAAGTTAGCGTCATAAATATGTAAAAGGAAAACATTCTAAACACAACAAATACAATTCTGTCGGTCTTTCTCTTTCGTCTTAAATATTAACGGTTTTACAGTTAAGTCTTTTTTCCCCTGATTGAAATTTATTGTGTATTAACGTACATCCCTGTGATATTTTCCATTATCTGCTGCAATGAATCCTTTGACGTAAGTACTTTTCGATTACAATTCCCGTATTGGTTAAGAAAAATTTATTAGAATTAAATTTATTAGAACGTAAATGAAAGAAAATATATTTGACGAGTTGAGCTTAATAATTTGATTGATAATCTTGCTAATATGGTTAAAACATTTCCTATTTTATTATATCTCAAATTTTTAACTCGGCGCGAACGAATTTCTGCTTTGTAAAATAAATGATGTGGCTATGCTTTCAGTAATGTTAAAAATATAAAGAAGCTGAACGAGCAGGAATTACAAGGAAGAAACAAAACGTCTTGGCACGACCAGTACAAGGATAGCGCTTGGATTTTTGTCGGTGGCCTGCCGTACAATTTAACGGAGGGTGACGTTATTGCTATTTTCTCACAGTAAGTTAAAATTCGTGAACAAATCGTGATTATACTTCCAATTGGATTTTTATACTAAATGTTCATATCATTGCAGATATGGGGAAGTGGTTAATATAAACTTAATCAGAGATAAAGATACTGGAAAGCAAAAGGGCTACGGTTTCTTATGTTACGAGGATCAGAGGAGCACCATATTGGCGGTCGACAATTTCAATGGCATAAAGGTGCATTTTAGTAGGACAGCGATATTATCGTCTTTTCTACGCGCACGAAAAAATTTTTATATTTCCAAAAATTATAATTGGAAACATCCCTCTATATTGAAAATTTGTTTTTTTTTTTTACAGATATTGGGTAGAGCAATACGAGTAGATCATGTTGCCAATTACAAAGCGCCAAAAGACTCGAAGAATATTGACGAGGAAACGAGAAATTTGCGGAAAGAGGGTTGCGCTCCAAGAAAGAGCTGAAGATGTATATTTAAATATCGATAATTGTAGACATTGTTTCAGTAATTTGTATTATTTTAAGAATAGATTTACATGTAAACTTAATAAGAAATATATTACTGACTAAAAGTTACTTACGATTACTTTGTTACTGCCAGTTAAGTCTTCAGTGTGTGCATTGTACAGTTGAGATTAGAAACGTTACCCAACTTTTATATCTCTTATTATTTCTACCGTACAGTCTTATCTTCCAATTTGATTTTTCTTAAGTCTCAAGTATCAGAGAACTAGTCAGTTTATAAGGATTAAAAAGCTCCCCGTTTTTTTTTCTTGTATGTGTTAAACGCAGAATAATATTGTAATATATTAGTTGTAATCAGGCTCGATGCGAACACATGTTAACGAATTATGTTACTACTTCTGGAGGGAATGATATCAAGAGGAACCGAATTCGCTCATCCATTTCTCATATTTTTCCAAGTCCTCCTGGGAAACGCTCTTGTTGCATCTCTCGACGGCCTCGTCGAAATCAGCGGCCGACACGGGCAAATCCAATTCTTCCTTCGGCAATTGCCTGATCTGATCGGGCCTCAGACCCGCGATTTTCTTTCGCATTAGCATCATGGAAGCATCCCTGTGTAATAAACGGCGGATGAAAAATAAACTCGAAAATTAATATAATTGAAGATACTGCACTCACCTACAAACATTCGTGATATCCGCGCCAGAATAACCCTCGAGTTTCCTTGCGATATCCGTCAAGTTCACAGACGAATCTACTTTGACTTCACGAAGGTTTATTCTTAACAACGCTTCTCTGCCTTCATCTGCAACGAGCAAAATAAAATATATTCTATTAAGGATACATTTATGTCTCGTTAAAAAGACTTACAAAGCTTAAGAGACTTACGATTCGGTAACGGAATGTAGATACGTTTTTCTAAGCGTCTTCTTAGAGCCTCGTCGATGTCCCATGGAAAATTTGTTGCCGCCAGTACCATCACAACTTTACTTGGATCTTCGCTGCAGAAGACAGGGATCATCAGTATTTATTCGTATCATGAAGCAAAAGCGTCATATAGTGTCCTTACCTGTTGGAGCTTATTCCGTCCATTTGAACGAGAAGCTCGGACTTTACACGACGTGAAGCTTCGTGCTCGGATTCGGATCCTCTTCTCGAGCACAGAGAATCAATTTCGTCGATGAAGATTGTGCTGGGCGCGTAAAATCTGGCCTGTAAAATTCAATTCATAAAATATAATTGATACCGTGAATGGAAATTACATTTTTTTCAATTTATGAAAATTATTTTCTTATTTAGATATATAAATCACGATAGTTTTAATCACTTTACCATTTCGAATAGCAACCGAACGAGTTTCTCCGATTCACCCCTATATTTCGATGTCAATGTAGAGGACGAGACATTGAAGAACGTTGTACCGCACTCGGTTGCAACAGCCTTTGCCAGCATGGTCTTGCCTGTGCCCGGTGGGCCAACCATTAATACCCCTTTCCAAGGTCGCCTGATACCCTAAAAATATAATACGTATGTTAATACAACAGAATTTTATTGCAAGATATAAAAATTAATGCAACATATTAAAATTAAAAAAAAGAGATACCTTAAAGAAATCGGGCATCCACATTGGAAGCACAACTGCTTCCTCCAACAATCGTTTCGCCTCATGTAAATCAGCTATATCGTCCCAATGGATATTTGGATTCTTTTGAACAATGTCTCTTTCTGCAATGTTAACATAAACGTTTGCTTTTATACTTTTATACGCTTATGAATAATAATAAATAATAACAAAAAAGGCAGAGTAATATTACCTAATATTTCTACAAGATCTTTATCATTAGAAGATGGTTCAAATTTACGTTCTTCTAGTTCTTCGTCTTTCTCCGTTTCTGACTTATCCTGTAAATTATTAAAACTATGTAACGCTCTTGTAATCTATATTAATATATGCAAACTTGAAATACAATAAATTAAGTAACCTTGCTTGCATCGTCTTTCTTTACGGTTTTCCTATCATCCTTTTTAGCGGAAGTCTTACTGTCTGGCTTTTTAGCTGGACCAACAACAGATTTTCTAATATTTGTTCGATTCTGCTGCTTCTGTTGAATTTTCTGCTGTCTTGAATTTCTGAAAAAAAGGTGTAATTGTAAATTAAATATTTTATATAATTATAATATATGATATGTATAAAGATGATATAATAATATAATATAAGTTATAACAAAAAGAAAAAGAAACAGAAATAATTTCTTTAAGAGGAAGAATAAAGTTTAAATGTCAAAGCTATTTGACAAATTAATAGATAATAAGATATCGTGAGTATATATTAATACTTTTGTTCTGCTGGAGTTAAGGGAGGCCACACATCGGGATCCCTGGATGGTGTTTGATTCCAAGAGGAATCCGAATTGCTGTAAGCCCAGAGAGCGGGATCTCGCGTCGGTTCCTCGAACGACAGGCAAGACGTCCCTGCGAATTTGTAGGCTCGTTAAGAGTCAGCTTTACTTCCAAGCTGTATTCCACCCGAGAGGTGGGGGATTTCCTTAAGGTAATCCTAATCGCGTTACCGAGCAGCCTCTCGCCGTGCGTGTCCACCTTGAAGAGCTGCAGCGTGTTGGACGTGGCCTTGACCTTCTCGAACTCCTCGACTATCTGATGCTGCACCACCTGCCACTTGGCCTTGCGAGTCGCGTCCGCGATGGTCGCGAGTAGCCTGTGTATCTGCTGGACGACCCCCTGATAGTAGACGCCGGACGTGTCGTAGTTCCCCATCAATGCCATCTCACGCGCGAGCTTCGTGTTCTCGCAAATTTCGTTTATCGACACAGCCATGGTTCCGCCGCTCCGAGTGGATGGAAAATTTATGGTTTTTTACTTCCTCGACGAGAGAGAGATGTTCTCTTGACGGTGACGGAGCGCGCGCGATCACGCACTTCGCCTCAGACTCTATCGATTGTGTACCTCTCTCGTAATGGCGAAAATTCGTTTAACACCTCAGTGTACATTTTTTTTCTCGCTGCAATCCACGTATCAAACTACATTTACATAACTGAAGATCGATTCGCGTCGAACGGTCGTTGCGCCAAGCGTAAATCAATCTCGGTGGAGCAATTGGATAATAAAACGTACTGATAAGCTAATAACAACAACAATAATAAGTTAGATATATGCTTTTATAGAAATTATGAGCTTCCGTCAATTTTCCATCACGTTCGTTTAAGCATTTTCGTTGTATCACAGAAGTATTTTGTAATATCACAGGAGATCACATCAAAATCATAACGAAACACTCTCGCTGTCATAAACTGACAAAATTGGATGTGACATCGAAAGATTACGATCTTTCAGTTTCTTAAGCCTGCAGCGCATGCTCCATTCGTTTTGGACAATTTGGACAGAGAAAATGGCTCGGTTTACAGTGAACAGACTTTAAATTTTCCAATCAGATTCGCCCTCTCCAACGATGGTTACGTTCGACCAGAAAAAGCTGCAAACCACTGTAAGATTTTTTAAATTAATAATTGATTCTTTTTGTTGATTCCTCCACAGTATAACCAGTAGGTCCACTCAACGAAAAACTGAGTCTTCGCGCAAGTATCGCCGCGCAACTTTTGTTTCGGGTTGGATCCAATGAAATGTAAGACGATAGGAACGTACATACATATGTGCAGACAATTTATAAGCAAATACATCAGAAATTTTCTTTAGTGATCACTCCTACGAATAATTGTTACTAATGAAACGTTTTATTTGATTGACACATTGAATTTATTGATTTACTGTATCGAATCCATATTATTACTTATCTGTTTTATTACTTGTGAGGCACTTTTCTCAATTCGATCCTGGATTTAACATGGTGGATGCTCACGTGATCTGGAAAAGGAGATCAAAGGCACCGACACGAAGTGGACCTACTGGTTATACTGTGATTCCTCACCGGATTTAAATGCATAAACCAATTATATTGAAAAATCTTACGATATTGCAGAGCTGTTTTTCTCCTGCCGAACGTAACCAATCAATTATGAGATAGTTTTCCGAACGCAATCGCGAGTGTTGGCGCTGGGCGCCTGTAGCGTATTTTTCCATCTCCCTGTTGGTGGCGTTGGCGTGTCAACGGTTTTCTTGTAATTCCTGTTCGACCGACGACCGACCTGTTCATTCCTGTTTGATTGTTACTGGAGGTAAGACGCAGTTCGAGACTATTCGAGACGATCGACGTGTACGGTGAGATTAACAGCTGAAAATCGAAGTTTTCTGAGTGATAATCGAAGGTAAATCGTTTATTAGCGATTAAAAAGTACATTTATTCCACGACATAATTAAAAATGATGCAATTCTTTTAGTTTTTCTCTGAAATATTCGTTTTCAACATCTTTTATCTCACTAAGTGAAATCTCGATACACGTGGTAACGTGTAACCGTTAAACATTCGAGCCATCTTCGCATGACTTTCCATGACTTTTCGCATGACTTCGCATGATTGTTTGTATATATTTTTTCTGACGTAAACTCACGCTTGTAATCCGTTATCGACGATATTCTTAAATATTTCAATTTGAAAAACTTCATTAAATTAATAATCGTAAAACTTTCGGTATCGATTATCGGAAAAATCTACATCAAAATGAATCATCCTGTAGATGGCTTTAATATTTGATGTTGGTTTAATATTTTTTTCTACGTAAATATATATATTTGAGAGACTTAATATTCGTCCTTCTTTCGCTTTTACGTTTATTGCGATTTGTATGTACAATTTTCCCTGTAATCCTGTCTTATATTTTGTAGGAAAGACAAATGGGCAAGGCGAAAACAAAGAAGCATGGTGAAGCAAAGCAGATGCATGGAATAAAAAATGGTTTTGTAAAGAAGAACAAAGATTCCAAATTCAAGAATACAACTATGGGATGCAAGATGGCTTTGATCAAGAATTCAGACAAACAGGACAGAGATTCGTCATTTAACAAAGACTCTGTGAATACAAAAAATAATCGAAAGCTAAAGCCTCTTTTCAATAATTCGAAACAAGCATCTAAGAGCCCACAGCAATCCAAGCAAAATTCTCCAAAAGAGAAACAAAATTCTCCAAACAACAGACAAAAACATAAGTTCACAAAAAAAACGCCAGATTCACATGAGTCTGATTCCGATGAATTTGATTTAGATGAGTCTGATTTTGACATCGAAGATGGAGTTACACCACAAGTAGATGCTAGTTCGAATGAAACTGAAATAAGTGAGGAAGATTCGGACATCGATGAGGGAGTTACATCACAAGTAGGTGCTAGTTCGAATGAAACTGAAACAAGTGAGGAAGATTCGGACATCGATGAGGGAGTTACACCACAAGTAAATGCTAGTTCAAGTGAAACTGAAACAAGTGAGGAAGATTCGGACAGCGATGTTCCGGATATCCTTGGAAAGAGCTTAGGAGATGAATCAGATGAAGATGACGAAGATTTTGAAGAGGAGTACGATAGCGATAAGGAAGAGGCGGTTGAACGTAAAGGTATAAAAATGTTTAATGGTCTACAATCTGAAACCAAAAGGAACGACGGCAAGAAAGATCCAGAGGAGGAAGACGATGATGAAAGCGAAAGCTTTGATGATTGGAATATGACGTCTGATAAGAGTGATGAAAGCGATGAGGATGAAGAAGTTGATAATCACAGAAAACAAATACAATATTTAGATAAAAGTTTAATGGAGGAACTTAGCAGAGGTTGGGGTGATAGTACTGACAGTGATGACAATAATGATAGTAGCGATAGCAGCGACGATAGCATTGACACCGAATTTGGTACAAAAAAGCTTTTTGAGGAGTGTACTGCAGAAGTCTGTGATGATAAAGAGAATCATAATGGTGTAACAAAATATACAGTCACAAAAAAGACAGCTGGTAAAGCTTCCTATAGGAATGATGAAGCTATAGAAGAAATGGATATATATAAAAAATTGAAAAAATACAAGGAGAAAAGAACAGTTCTCGTTAATAATGTTCCAAGAACAACAGATATACTAGATGTAGCTCGTCCGTTTATCCAGTATGGAGTCATTAGAAAGATACAATTGAGAATTTTACCCGAAATGAATATTATAAGTAAGAAAATGGCAGTGTCGCTTGGAATACCGCTGGATTATCCAAATCTAAAAACATACGTAGCATACATAGAATTTGAGAAGGAAGGATCTGCGGAAGCTGCAGCAGAGGCTTTGAATGGAATAAGAACTGCGGAAGGAAATTTCTTGAATGTACTGACTGCTCGTCAAGTGAAAGGAGGATTTAATCCAAAGAAAACTGTATTTTTTGGTAATTTTAAACCTGGTACGTATAAATTGTTGTTGATCAATTGTTACACTTGTACAGCATGAAGATTAATAGTAGTTTGATGTTTTTGACATTTCAGGACTAGACCCTGAAAACGACCTTTGGGAATTATTTATCACATGTGGACGTATAAGACATTTGAACGTATATCGTGATTATGACACGGGACTAACTAAAGGACATGGTTATGTCTATATGGATACTGAAGCAGCTGCACGTACCATCGTCCGAACTTTCAACAAAATTGCCAAAATTGGGGGACAGCCATTACACTTGAAACTGATGCTTGATTATATCCGCCCAGGAAGTTCGAATAAAAATGACGATAAAGTGATGAAACAGGGAACTAAACGAGCTAGTCCGCATAGTGATAAGAAATCGTCAAAAAAATTTAAGACTGATTCAGAAAAGCCTGTAGCATCTAATGTAAGTATTTTAACTATTCGTAAATGTTTCCTGCAAACCTCCTTTTTTACAGTCTAATAAATATTGTAGAAAAAATATAGATACAATTTAATGTTCCATACTCGTGTTTTCTTTTTGCAGGTTGAACAAAAAACCACTAACAAAAAGAAAAAGCAGCAGGGAAATAACAAAGGAGCGACGTCTGCCGCATTTCAGGGCCAAAAGGTTGAGTTGAAAAACAAGAAGAAAAAGAATAGACTTGATAAGAAAAAGAAGAAAATGGCAGGAAAACTTACAGCCAAATCGGCAAAAGCTTAAAATAATATCGTAATATTTTATCAATTAGATTTATCATATAAGATTTTTTTTATATTCCAAGACTTTTTATGTTTGATATTGAAAAAAGATATGTAGCATAGTTATAACGGACGTTACAGTTCTCGTGAAAATTGATATCGCACAGGTTGAAATGAAACTACCTCGAACATGTATGTGAATATATTTCTTTTTATATTGTAACTGTCGTCATTGATTTTTTAAATAAATAACGTTTGATGAGAAATTACATTATTTTCAAGAATTTGCCTGCTTCGTTAAGTTCCTGATTTTACCGTGTAACTGGGGTGGTAAATACTGCACATTACTAGACGCGCATTTCGGACAGAAACGCCTCGTGTAAAATATGCTGCATCCTAGACACACGGCGTGCTTGCACACGCTACAATCGGCGCCCAAGACCAGGACTTCGCCTCTGTTCGGCAAACTAAACGGATCCTTCATGATATAACATTCTTCCGAATAAACCAAATGCCGAGCGAACGGTGGCCTCGCTCCTTTGTAATCGTACTGTTCCTTCAAGGGACAAAAGGAGCACGCGAAATTGCCGCCCACATTCGTCGCTCTCTGTTGACTCGTGGAGGCATCCCGTTGCGTCCGCTCGCTGATACTAGATTCGCCTGCTGACATATTTCCTCTTTCCTATAAAGCAACAAGTAACAGAATCCCCTATATGTATTATTGATTTTTGGCGAATAACAAATTTATTTTATACGTGTAAATATAATACAAATTTTATTATACATATCAGGCGTACGCGTTTTGTTTTCTACATAACGGTTCGTTTACATCTGCTCGAAAACGTTTCAGTGTATTACTTCGTATCTTTGGCAAGAACCGCTTCTCTCTGTGACTCCTGGGGCCACCATGCAGGTTTGACTACCCTTACGTTTATACCGGACACACTGAGCTGCCGGGCATTAAGAGATTCGTTTATACGCATCAAGCCTAATCCGTACTTGGCGACGCACCCACGGAACTTCCCTACCGCGTTGCCCGATTCGTTGAGAATTTTCTCATCGTACGCGAACGGCTTGTCGACAACGGTGTCGAACAACAGGGGCATCAAGCGCTTGCTAACTACGCCTGTGTGATACGTGCGCGCGGTCAGCTCCTGGCCGATGTAGCAGCCCTTGTGAAAACTAACGCCGTGCAGGTAATCGCAATGGTGATCTCCAAGGGCAACGCCTTCCCCGGCGGTAGATCGTGCATGCCTTCCCCTACTCCTAGTTTATATCGATACGCCCTGTAGTCGTCCCTGGGACTCTCCGACGGCGACACATCGGCGTCCAGATGCTTGATTATCTCGTCACCGCCGATCTGCGTCTCGGCGAGAATTCTTAAGCCTAAATCGGGCAGCCTGGGATCCTCGTATATCATGACGCTATCGACGAACTTGCTGGCTTTGCTGTTCAACGTGCCGCACGGAAATATCATTCCCTCCAGCTTTCCCGTCTCGCTCGCGGCGGCTCCGTCGTCGGGACGTCCGGCGGAGCCGAACATCGACCAGACGCTGATCTTGTCCCCCACGTGTTCTATGTCTATCCTTCGTCTCACGCGGTACATCTTCAGGTGCCGCTGCAACGAGTCGACGACCTGCGAGTCGCATTCCACGTAGTACAAGTCGCTCTCCTCGCTCTTGTACACGACGGCGTCGCACATCACTCTGCCCCGGATATTCAGGAACAGGGTGTAGATGTTGGGCGCCCCTTCGTCGAGGTGACTCATATCGTTCGTGATCAGCCCCTGGAGGAAGGTGGAGGCCTCGTTGCCTCTCACGCGCAGTAAGCTTCTGTCGCTCAAGCGTTCCAGGGTCTTGCCAGAATCGACTCGGGTCGAGCTGTGCCTAACCGCACACCGCTGCTGGTGGCCACCGAGCCTTCTACCTCGCTTGCACACTTGGAGAACGAAGCGACTAACGCGGTCGATCATCATAGTGGACGACGTCTCATGTGTGGTTTTCGAACGGTCTTTTTTTATTTCTACGAAAAATAATACGCAAGTACACTAGCCTGAAACCGGCGTTGCTTGGAATAATGTTGGATACGGTCTAACCTCACTTAACCTCTAAATATTTCGTAATTATTTCTATATGCAGTGCTGCGCAACAATATTGTGAACGATTATATACATAATCCTTACATTTATTACGGTTATTTGATCACGTTTGGTTCAATCAGTCCCAATTATATGATCCAGTAACTTGAAAGAGCCGAAAGGAACGGTCGTTCGCCGCGTCCACACCTTGAAATCAGATGTGATCACTCATCACTGATCAGATGATCCATCAGCTGTTCTTGTTGGCTACACCATAGGCTATACTTGTTACACTTTTTGTTACATTTAGAATGAAAGGGATACAGAATGACGTTGAAGAGAAAGAGAGAGGTGATAAAAAAAATAATAATTAAGATACCATCTGATACCATCAACGGATTATCTTTTAACGCAAAGAAGAATTATCTGCATTTAATAATCAATCGATTATTATTTCGGGAACTATGCGTAAAATAAATAGTATTGTATATAACAATGTGCAATAAAAAAATAACAAAAAAAAGAAGTAGCACACTAATTTAAAAAAAGCCACTAATTTAAAAAAATTATAATAATTGACGAAAGTGATGAAGGGCTTCTTTAAAGGAATTAATTCGGTACGCTGTTTGTCAGGATTTCAACAGCTAGCGTTCCTATAATGATGCATTTCATTTTATTTACTTTCGTAGTTTCTTAACAAAACGATGGTGATCACAATTAGATATAGATATATCAGTCGCTCGCGCTTAACAAGGCGATCGGAACTGCTTTCGTTCTTGCATTCCTCATCGCCATTAAATTTAATCTTAATTCATTCTCTTATTCTTTATAATCGTTTCATATTAAATGACGTAGATGACATAATATTTCGCAAGGTGATATATACAAGATTATTGGTAGAAAATTTATTTTGCAAATTTTTTTCTAAAAGTAGCAAGTAACTGCAGGTGTAGTGGTTAAATTAAAAGAAAAATTTCGTTTGAACAGCTATTTTTAGAGATCGAAACTATTTCTAACTAAAATTGAACTCCTGCACAATTGAAATTATTTCTTGTCTAACATTTCTTGTTTTGCGACAAAAATGTGTTGATCCTTAAAATCGAGATTTTTCAGGGATAAATGTATCTAATATGAAGAAGGAATTCAATTTGTAATTATATACAAAACGCAAAAAAAATAGTTAAAAAGAAATTATAATTATGTGAAAAAATTAACATGGTAATCTTTAGACTGTATATAAATAATTGCAATATCGAAATAAAATAATCAGGCGGATACGCAATCAATATATTTAAATCAGAGTAAATAAATCCAAATAAATCAATTAAAATATGCCAAGATCTTCTTTGCGTTATAAGATAATTAAAAAAAAAATTGAAAATTGAAATATGAGCTGTTTTAACGTAAATTCTGAAACGCCATATGATTCTAGAGATGAGTATAGTGAATTTCCTAACACGAGTTAACAGACTATCATCGTGAAATTTTCAGCAAACCAAATGATAGTTTCATTGAGATACAGTATAATTTTAAAATATATATATACGTGATAGAATTGTGCTGATCGATGTAGCCAGTCTTCGCGCACGTTCATCACTGGAATCTCGATTGGGAGCAATATTTCGTATATTTATGTTGGTGCTGGCTGATGCTAAGTATTAATAATCAATTCGAAAACATCCATGACCCTCTATAATTCCATAGAGCAGCGGTTCTAAAACGATTTTCAACACAAGCTAGTAAAATTGATGTAAACGTTCCCGGTAATGCAGCACAAATATTCATCGTAAAAAGTAAATGATCTGTATTATTTTACTATTTAAAAAAAAAATTAAACTTACATCCAGTAATTACGCGATTTTCCATGCTCATTTCCCAGACTCGTTCTAATTCGTTTTACTTTTATCATGATATATCTCGTATAATAACACGAGAAATAAAACAAAATGAATTGTAATTTAAGCACCGCTACAATAAGATGATTTCGAATACGACGTCGTGCAAGATTTATCTTTATATATATATACTACATCGCCGTTAAGGAGCGCAGCGTCGTCGTCGGACAATGTCGTCCATCTTTATACAAACAATTCGTATACAGCCTGATCGGAAGGATCGAATGATGCAGGATCAATGTGCCATCCGCTATTTACAGCCGACGAAAACGATCCGTCGCGCGAAAGGAGATTCTCGGTCTTGAAGCAAGTCTCGGCGCAAGTCATCTCGTTTATTGCACGATAACGTCGGGATTTGAGATACGGATGGGGTCGCGTTAACGATCGCGCTCGAATTACAATTAATCTACGGGGCTAATGGTTACATCGCGCTCTTCGCTGCTCTACATCGTACTATACATGTACTACGATAAGGGGAGACTGGCCAGAACGTGCGCAATTTATTATTGCTTTGGCTATGATGCGTAGTGTATAATATCTTATTAGCGTAGTATTTCTCTCGTAGAAATGATTAACGTTTAGCGAACGGCGGAGCGAGTTCTCGTACTCGCCACGTTGAAAGGCCCGTTTAAAACGGCGAAAACTCCGCGTGCAACGAACCGGTGCAACTATGCGATTTTTCCCTCTTTTTCCCACCCTCCTACTCTCTTTCATTTATTATTTCGTTCTAGCGAAAGAATTGCTGAGACCTATTTTCTTCTATTTTTCCGCTTTATACTCGCCCTTCATTTCACGCGTCTAACTCCAAACTACTCTACGCTACTATTTGCCGTGAGAAGTGAATTGCAAGGTAAAGAACTGCAGGCAATCGGCTGGGTCGGACTACAAACGGAACGCATGCAGATCCGTGCATGCTGTAACTTTGTTCCTCCAATCGCAACTGCCGCGATTCGCGCGGCGGTGGCGGCAGCAATCTCTGCTTCAATGGGAGTAGCCGTTTCAAAGGGAAAAAGCACACGGGAAACAATGCGGCCGATTAATCTCGCTCGGATAGTTCTCTCGGTTCTTACCGGTTTTCGCCCGCGGCCGGATATCTCGAAGAAACATTAATCGCTGTCGTAATGCGAGGGATCGTGTTCCACAGTGTACCAACAAGAAGGATCATCATATGGGTCTGCGGCACGAATGTTAAGTTCACGCGAATTGTGTGCGCCGTCGGTGACGAGTCTTTCAGGCAAACGCGAGTAGTAGCGCGTTTCTCGCGGCTTGCCTTATCTACTGCTAAATTGCACTGTCGCTTTTTGCAACGCGGGCCGAAACGTTCTCACTCACGTTCTTAAACGTACAATTCGTACCGCGCGCTTCCTTACGGAGAGTCGCCGAGTTTCCGAGAATAAAATGTCTCTTTATTCAGAGCAAGAATTTCGAAGTATTACTCGGTACTTCTTCTATTTTATTTATCGCGCCTCATCTATTTCTTCTGCCGAGGGACGCTCCCTTCAGTGCCTGACGTCCACCTCGTCCGTCGCCTGGTTCTCCAACGTGCACGGTCTGTGAAACTCCTGACCTCTTTCGTGCAGCCATTTGTTTGCCACTGAAAGAAAAAGAATAAATTGTGACACTAACATAATATATTTATGAAATAAAGTATTAAAATGTGAACACTTTAACAACGTACCCCACTTCGATCCTGTAAGTACCGGGCAGGCCGCGTGTCTGGTTTTGAAGTCTCCCTCGCCGTTAGGCTTCAGATTGTGCCAAAACGCCGCACTACCCTTCCTCGGCCAAAGCGATATGTTGATAGCGGTAAACACGGTACCGCCTCCCTGCTCGACGTCGCTCATCTGTCGACAATGAGACCAGTGTTACATTCAATTCAAGTATTTTCCAAGAGCGTGCGCAACAAATCGCACACGGAGTTGAAACTTACGTAGTACAGAACCGTTGCAATTCTGTTTCCGGTCCCGAGGCTCTTGAACGCATTCGTCTCTTCTTTCTGCAAAACGTAAAGTGGAATCGAGTTAATTAACGTGACGAGCAAATAGCTGCGCACAGAAGGGCCCTCTCCGTGATTGCTCCTCATGGTCAATTTACCCTCGCAAAGTCGAAATGCGGCTCGTAGTGACCGCCGATGCCGTAATTAACGACCTGAAGTTCCTCGGCCGTCTCGACGGACATACTTGTCATGTGCTCCACGCGTTTGCTCACCGCCGCTACGTGCTTATGCTCGTGTTCCTGCAGCCATGCGCTCTTGCTGATTCTGTAATTCGCTATCTCTAAGGCACCGGTCTTGTAATTCTGCACCGTGGCGCGCTTAAACTGCAACACGTAATTGCCATTATCTCCAGGAATTCCCGCAATTTTGCGGTGCGCGCGCGCGGAGACGCGAGACGCGGCGTCTCAGAATCGGAGGAGAAGGTGCCGCGCCGCGTTCGTCTCGGCGGGCGATAATTTCCCGTAAACGCGACTATTTACCCTAGGCTGAGCCATCCGCTTGATCGTCTCGATCTCCTCGTCGTAGATCACGTTGTGATAAACAACTATCCTCGGATCCAGGTACGCCTCCTCCTCCTTGAACGGCGCGATCTTCAGAAAGGGAATTCCACGGTCGACGTAGCGGCACTTGAGCTTCTTCTCCACCTCCGGCGGAATAGATACTTCGCCGCGACAAAGCATCTCGTACCTCTCCCTCTCCGTCATTTCCTCCCACGTTTTCACCCTTTCCTCGGCGACAGTGAAGTTCTGCAAGCGCGATAACGAACTTTATGGACGCTCGCGGAAAACTGAGATTGTTCCCCGGGATTTCGCATCGTCGTCGAAAATAATGGCCGGCGACGGAAAGTTTTCCCCGTTGTTTGACGGTATCTCTCGCACTAATCGCGAGATAAATTGATAAATGACAAATTAATTTATTGCGGCAAATCCAACAATTATTAAGAGGATGTGCACTCCCGTTACTTTAAATTGCGTTTCCGGTTTCCTCTTAATGAAGCTTTCGCTGATCGCGGTGGCTTTACCTGCTCGGGTACCGCTGTATCATCCTTCCCATCCTCGCCCCGCTTCTTTTTTGACTGACTCGCCTTGCTTTGGATCTCCTTCTGGTAATACGCGCGGTTTCCCAACGCTCTCTCGTGTGTCGGCACCAATTCGAGCAGCTCGTTCGTCATGCTCAAAGCGCGAGCGACGTTACCTGGCCGGCGAATAAATACGGAATAATATATTTGAAACGTACGTGCTGCCGGAGGAGCGGGCTTTTTTCTTTTAGAAAACTTCCCCGCGCTCCCTCGCGACGTGTACGATCCGCGTAATATAATTTATGTACTGATCGGAACCTTGCATGTACGTCGAAAACGCCAAGTATTCCAGGATGTCGGGCTTGGAGGTGGTGGTGGTGGCGTTCTGCTCCTCCTGCAGGCGGTCCATAGCCTCCTGCATCCACAGCACAGTGTGATAGTAGTCGCGATTGTGATAAGATTGTCGGCCCAGCTCGAAGCAATCGCTCGCTGAAACGTGGAATTACACCGCACGTGTGGCGGAAGTGTGAAAATAAAATGGGAGGATATATTTATGAGCGCGCGAGAACGCGTATTCTACGTAACGTCGGCGATTCCGTTTTTTTTTTCCGTGAGGCAATTTGGATTGCGTTCTATTGAATTTCTTTCTATTCAGCTCGCGCGGCGCTGGCGCCGGGCGTGGCATACTGATAGCGGAAAAGTTAGTTCGTTAATTAATTTTCCTTCTGCGAACCGCAAAAGCGCGCTTTTCGTCTTTCTTTGCCATCGCAAAACTCCCCGACTCCCCCTTATACCGCGCCTTTTTTTTTTATACCGTCAAAAAACTTGCGGCACATACAATTTATTTTTACGCGAGCGAATCACTCTTTGTGCTTGCAACGAACTCGCTCTCCTCTCGTCAAATTTGACGTTACGTCAAGGAGAACGCCGTCCTTTACAACACTTTTTCGTGAACGTTCGTAGAAATTTTAATTAAATTTCTGAGAGAAAGAGGAGCCAGACACGCATCTCCGTACTTATGCTGAATAATTTCTTCCGATACAAATTGATTTTTACTTTTGACATTAAAAGGATCGTTTGGTGATCTCTAAATCTGAATAAGTGGATATCACTGATTATCAATGGTTATTCGTTGAATGCATCAGTTCCAAGTACGCCACTGGTCAGTGAAGCTGATCAGTGAAATTCATCTTTATTGTCTCTCTAAAAATCATTAATAAATAAATGAATAATGCTATAATCCCTGATAAATCAGTGGACTTTGCTGTTCTCGCTAATCGCGCAGCGAATTCGGAGCTCTGTTTCATTTATTCACTAGCGACTGAATCAGTGAAAAAGTTACTGATTTAATCAATGACTCTTCCACTGATTCAAATTTAGAGAGTGTATAAGGATTCCGAGATCTCTTGCAACATAAATTGAGTACATACAGATTACAGGAGGAGGGAATGTCATATACGTACCAGTCAATCCGGTGCTGTATTGCACCCCATTCAGGACACCCCTCGCAACTTGCGCGGTCTCGAGCTTATACGTGTCCTGCAGCCTCATCAAAGCGACTGCGGCCCCATTCAGGTCCTCGTCGGTCGGGAATTTTAGATCGCTCCTGGAATTCGTGATGTTCGCGACGAAGGACTTGCCAACGTCCTCGGTTATCAGCTCCTCGACCTTTTTCCAGTCGGTGGTCAGCCGTTTCACCAGCAGATAAGCGTTTATAGGATTCGATAGGTACTGCTGAATGTTCCTGGAGGCCTCCTCGTGCTCCCTCGCGTAACCTTCCACATTCCTGAAAGGAGAAACATTTTCCATTAGCTAGAAAAAGTTGCGGAGAAAAAACTAAATTAATCCTTTCGCGCCGCTCGTTTTGTTTGAATTCAATTTGAAAATACAACTCGCCACTGGAGAGAAGCGCAGTAAAGCATGTAAAAGATCCACGCGCGCTAAACTTTCCCTGCACGGATGCGATTGGAACCGTGAGAGATACATTTCATATATTATATATATATTTACGTAATTTTTACATTACATAGATAAAAGATACACAAAATAATTTATTTCCGATTAAATTCGAAATACCTAAAAAAAAAGAATTATTTCAATAATCTATAAAAGAAATTAAATTAGAATTAATCTTAATAATTCATAAATGAATCTGAATATCTGAGTCGTTCGGCCGCGGATTCACATCGGTAATCTCTATTAAATTATTTAGTTTATCAATATTATAACAATCGAATTAGTCGGACGGAATCGAAGATCTACATTAATCCGTTCAATTGCTGTTTATAACTGCGGGAATTAGATTTAGATTCAGTCGAATAGGTCGCGCAGCATCTAATGGCACGGTAAAATTTATTAGGCTGCAGTGTTTGAAAGCTTCCTTCCTAGATTATCCAGCCGATCCCTTTTTGCACAATCTGCGTAATATTAGTGCCGCGATGCGCGAATTTCAGCTGAATCAGTCTTTAAACAGAATGGAACCCACGGATAGAAATTCTACATAATGCTCTCGCATTCGCAGCGAGCTTGTCATGCGCTCTTTAACGATTTTAACTAATTAAGGCTACAGCAATCAGCTACAGCATCAGTTTTTTTTTTAAATCAACGCGCTTTTCCGTTTGATCTTTCTGGTCCTCCAATTTCGTATATAAATTTAAAAATCTTCAGTGCCTCTCAATATTTTTGATCGAAAAAGAAATGTAATTTCAAATTAACTAAACAATCAATTACACACGATCGATCGAACGGAAAATGAGATCAATGCAAATGAGACGATAGAAATTGATTTACGCTCAAGACAAAAGCTGAAAATTTATCCCATCGGTCACATAAAAAAGATTATGATTTCACTTAAAGAATTCTACTTTCCAATTAATGTGGTACCGTCATCAAGTAATTCGAAGTCGCGAGAATGAGAGAAGAAAGACAGACGAAGAGAGAAGAGAGAGAGGCGACGATAACTTTTCTTATCACCAGAAGCAGGAGGGAACAGGAGGGAGGGGGAGAGAGAGGTGGGACATACCGTTTCCGTCGTCTCCAATTGCAATCGGGGTGCGATTCTATCGCGATATCAACCCCGCGGCGAACGACGGAGACGTTTCCGACACCTGGCGACACCATTGTCCTCGACGATGTCGCTCGACGGCGCGGCGGGACGTCCTCTCGAGGGGAGGAGAGGGAGACGACTTATCTCGCGTCGCGAATCTCCGGAATAGACGTTCCCTGTCGATTCGTTCTCGCGTTTAATGTATAGCCGAGACGCGGAAAGACTTTTTCGCGCTAAAAACTCAACGAGGGTTCCTCTCTCTCTCTCTCTCTCTCTCTCTCTCTCTCTTTCTCTCTCTCTATCTCTTCGACCGAGACACTTCCAGCATCTCGCGTCGAGGAAGAAGCCGTGACAGAAGTCGTATCACCGCGGCGGGAGTAAGACGTGACTCCAATCCTCTTACGAACGACTCGGGGAAAACTAATGATTTTCTTTTCCCTCGCAGAGAGATATCAAATCGGGAGAGATATATTTACAGCATGCACTTTTTGTAACGATTCTCTCTGCAAACGTACGTAATATAAATTAGCGAATGTGAATAAAATGTACCATCCGCACGAATAATGCGTGGCTCCGCGGAGTCAGTGGAGTGCATTTGACTCGTAATCGATAGATCCTGAGTTCGATTTCGATTCTCATCATCCATTTCCCCTTCGCGAGATTTATCTTGACGTGATGAAGGGATCCAGCTATCACATGCCGCTAAGATTCTCACTCGCATGCAGTCACGTTTTTCGCGTCGTAGTTATTACACGCGAGCGAAAAGCGAAACGAAGAGCGCCGCACGTGGATCGGCGTGGTCCGCGACAGGTCGATCGTTAGCGGAGGTGTATGAACGGTAGGAGTCATATAAATTACGGGAATAAACACGACAGGTGCGCGTGACTTTTCGAACGCTTCTCTCTCTCTTTCTCTCTCCCCCTCTCTTTATCTCATCTCCGCGACGTACGCCTCACCACATCTGACATTCGCAGCTGCCGCGAATTGCGAGCGGGGCAGTATTGCGCTTCTCGTCGAGTACCAATTCGCGTATATATATATATATATATATATATACCCGTTATGATCCGAATAAATCCGGGGCCCGTCAATAACCGAATACCGGTTGCGTCGCCGTGTTGATGGATCTTAATCCGCCTCATCCCTCGGGAGGAGGGGGAGAGGGAGAGAGGGCGGAGTACATGCGCCCACACGCGCATTATTTATGATACGCTTAAGTGCATCGCGGCAAATCGGCGTGACAAATATAATTAATGAGTCCGTACGAGTGTATGTATATATACGCGAGATGTACCGGCCACATATATTGCCGAAAGTGCACGTGCGTTCGCTCTTAGAGAGAGGACCACAGTAACTTTTCATTAAGACCTCGGGTTCTTCTCGAGCTGCGACGGTAATTGAAACGAAAGAGACTTCGTGATGCGTTCTACGCTTCGACGAAACCGTCGCAGGCAACGTAAACGATCTCTCCGTTTAATTATTCAATTTCGTATCGGAACGCAGAGGCTGCACGCGATATGTATATAGGTAAGGAGAAAAATACATATTTTTCATGTGTCGAATGCGTAGGTGGGCGATCGCAACGCGCGATGGGATTAGCCTGCCTGAAATTGAACGGGTTATCCCGGCGGATTTATCTCAGGCGTACGTCGCACAATCCGCCCCTTCCGTAACGTTATATATGGATCCGGGGAGAGATGCCCGTTATACAGGGAGAAACCCGCTTACGGCTAAATGACACGTCTCGATACGGCTTTATTAAAAACGGCGCATCGTGCGAAAGACAGGCTCTTCCCGTCTCTCTCTCTTTCTCTCCTTTTTTTTCCTTTTCTTTCTCTACTCCCGCTTTACCTCTCTCGATAACGATACCGTTCTTTGTATCGCAGCGCCGAGAGCCAATAACGCAAGCCGTCTCGTTAGCGCGATTTTTCACCCCGTTCCTCCCGGGGGCTGTCGTCGTGTCAGCGCATTCTTGCAGCTCGGCCGCGCGTCGCCGACGACAGATTTTAATTAACGATACGCGCGCGCGCGCGCCCGCGCGTGCACGACAGACCGGTCTGCGCCTCGAAAGGGATGATCGGTTCCCGGTTTTCCGCCTGTGTCGTGGTTTTCGCTCTCATCCCATTCATCTGCGCCTTCAACGCGGCTGACGTACGTCGCGCACTCGGTACCACGCGGTTCGGAGGCGCCGCGGTACAGGCGGTCGGGGGCTCCGCAAACCTCCTCCGCTTCTTTGATCTTGACGGGAGATTATTTTAGCCGGGCTAACCGAGTCGAGCTCAGAGGCTTCCTTGACCATCCTGCACGCGCGCGCGCTAATTTCTCCGAGTTCACGAGCGGATGAAAACCTCGGAGGAGGACGACTCCGAGAGACAAAGGGAGCCGCCAAGTGAGAGCTCGAATAAAGGAAGGTGAAAAAAAAAATTCACTCCGCTCCCGGAATTTACTTCCGGGCTTTCCGCCGGGTCCGTTTACCCCGGCGTTTTCACATGAAAGAAGACAGCGACATCCGGAATGCGTCCGTCATGAAAAAATCGTAAGCGTAATTATTAAAGTACGAATTTCCAGTTTAAATTCGCGGCGAAAGAACGTGCCTCCGCGCGCGGATATAGGAATACCTTTTCTCTCCCGTTTTGCCAGGTACTTTAATCTCCCCTTTCCCATTTTTCATGAACATCAGGCGCGCTTTACGCCGTATTTGCCGCCGCCTCCGGTCAACCTCCATGACACCCCCGGGTGTGTTTTTCTCCATTCGTGTCATCCGCGCAAATGGAATAGCACGGTGTGCGCGTATGCACATATACATACGCGGTAGAATGCGCGATGCGCCAAAAACAGTGGCAGATCTCGCGGCATGTTTCGGGGCTTGTGTTTTGTACGCAAGAGTGACAAAAAAGCTACGAGTCGTTAAAACGAAAACATATATATCGTAAAAAAAAACATTGCAAACTATACTATTCTATACATATATGTATATGTAATAAAAAATGCAATAATAAAAGTAAGATGTAAGAATACAATACTAAAAATAAAAATAAAAAAAATTATACATTCTAAACACGCGCGTATAAAAAGTATGTATTTAATTTATTTGCTTATTTAGATTATCGCATCTCGCGACATACGTTCGCAATTATTAATCTTGTTTTGCACGGTTTCCCCTGCACCGCTGTTCTCCACAGCAGCTTGTATCCCGTACAGTCGCGCGCGTCGCCCACGTATATAACGGCACTCGGTTAAATCGCCCTGATAATTAAAGCTCAATGCGCGCTCCTCTTTATTCCATCTGCCGTTCTCCGCGTTCTCGTGGTCCCGCGCGTCTGCTAAATCCACTATTGTGCATTGGCGCAAAGTGGCTGCCAGTCGGGAAGGGCTTTCAACCCCGTCCACCGACCCCGTCCGCGACGCGACGCAACGGGACGGCGGTGCAGGGACCTGTCGCTCTTACCCCTCGGCTACCCTCTCTTTCTCAGTACTTCAACCCCTCCTCGGAGAAACTCCCGCGAGAGGATAATGGCGATCGTCATTTAGTCACCCGGTCGGCGGCGCGGAGGATTTGCATGAAAATTTACTGTCACGCGGAGCTGCTCCCTTTCTTCCTTCCTCCCTGTAGATGCAACTTTGTGCCGCGATAAAAAGAGGGAGGGAAAAAAAACAGAAAGAAGAAAAAAAAAAGAAAGCGCCTTTAGCGTCAGTGTTGCGACGTTCCGGGAAATTATTCATAAACTTCAATTTTAACGCGCGCGAGAGGCGAACTCGCCGCTCGTCGCGATTATTCTTTCAGACGCCCAAGAGTGCATGCGAAATTGTTTTTTAACGCAAAACAACGCCGTTGCACGATGATATCCAGAATCACTGAAATTCCTAAATTGTAATTATTTAATAAAATTAATACAATCAATTATAACATTTAATTTCTTTTATTCGAACTTTTAGTCGACGTATCACCTCGAGATTAAAAAGGTAAATCTCTGTTGCACCGATCGTACTCCCGTGATTTCAGAGGTGCGGGGGTAACAGAGCTCTCTTCGTTATCCATAGTCAACAAAAACGGGAACGAGCGAGTCGCGCATGCGCGCAGCCCGGCGCAATTCGACACGATGTCGGCGGCGCCTCGACGACTCGGCGCCACCAGCGGCGCCGTCAGTCAAGAAACGTCTCGTCGAACGAACGGCTGGCGATTTACGACACGGGGATGGCGTTGAAACGCCGGTCCTCGTCTGTGTGACGCGAAAATCTGAGACGCTTGCCGGTCGCGTGTGTGCGCGAGAAAATAGAGAGAGAGAGAAAGAGAGGAACCGCGTAATGGCCCGCGATGGCCTGACGGTTCTGTGACACGAGTTCTCCTCGGCGCGACCTCGGCGAGTCGACGACCACGAGCGCCCATCATGGCGGCCGCGGAACACGAGACGAAAGTCCGGGATGAAAACACGCCGTATCTCACAGACTTTCCCGAGCGAGTGCGATACGGCTGGTTCAAATCGAACGACCCGGACACGACGGTCACGTGCGAGCCACTGCCCAATGTGAACATCTATCTGTACGGTAGTGCTAATTGCAGAATCATTGGTGAGAAAGGCGACTACGAGTGGAATTTCACGATCATCACGACGGGTAAGTGAGATGACCAGCTAGCGTCTCTCGTTCGTTCGGCTTGCTCGGCGTTATTTCGCGGGAAGGAGTCGTGTGTAATATCCGGCGGTGTCAACACCGGCGTGTCCCACTGATCAGATCACGACAGTTGTCAACCTTTTGTCCGAACGCCCACGTTGTTTTGCCGGCGAAAGACTTGATTTGCACGCGCGCAAAAAAAAATAATATTTTAACTTAACCTTTACGTATCTATAATATATATGTAATACATGCATGATAATAATTTTATAATCGAGAATCTTTAAACGACCTTTCTTCTGTCATCCTACAATACGATTGACACACATTTTTCTCTTTTTTTTTTATAATCGTCGATTTGTTTTCAATTTGACACGTGAAAGTCAAGCAACGCGCAAGAGTAGAGAAATTGTACTTTAACACCTCAGCAAGCGACACATTTAATGAGATTACTGAAGCTATTCCGATTTTGAACCCTGTTTTGCCCTTCGCAATCCTCGGTCCCGAAGGCGGTCAAGAGTTACAGAATGTGGCCTTGATATCCAACGATCATCGAGGTAACTTCTTCCTGAAGTCGGTGCGAAACAAGGACGGCGCGGATATCGGCATGACGAACCTCCAGGAGTGGCGGCACAGTCCGGACTTCTCTCAAGAGGACAAGAGGCAGTATCTGGTGACGGTCGGTTTCACCGCCAGGAAACACAGCACGTATCGGCAGGACCTGGTTTTCGGCTTCCTAAATCCGCCGGCGCACCTCCAGAGGATCTGCGCGGACTACTTGCACATCAAGGACTACGAACGGATACAGAGAGCGACGAATTATCAGCAGTCGCAGATACCGTCGAGATGGAAGGAACCGTACGAATTCTATTCGTCCTTCACGCCGCACACCAATCCGCGGCAGATCAAGCTCTCGCGGATCTATGCGTACCCGGATAGACAGAACTTCAGCCTCACGCAAGACACGCTGTCGGACAACCGGCTGACGCCACGCAACTATCGGGGTCGCATGCACGAAATGATCACCCTCGAGGAGATCGCCCGGCACGAGCAGATCTCGAGATACAACCATCTCTCGTGGTTGCGTCTCATGGCGCACTACGTGCTGTTCAACAGCGACGGCTCCACCATCACTAAATACACACCGCCGGGTGAGCTCTTCGCTCAGGTGCGATTTCTTTCTAAGAGACACTCTTGCCGCGTTTTACTCCCCGTTCACCGCGCTCACACACGATCGTATATTTGCTCGTTCATTGTACGGTTTGCCTCAATTTTCTTGCAAGCGTCTGGCATTATATATTTTTCTATTAGACACTTATATAGGTATTTTGCGTGTTATATTTTCTACTAAATTTAATTAGTTCTCGGTCGTTACTCATTTACGTTCACTCCCCATTTAAGATCGAATAACGATACGTCATTTTTCTCTCGCCCGCTTATATCAAACGCGTGAAATTTATTGCCCACCGCAGATCCCACTCAGTCGGGACATCTTGGAGGATACGCAGAGCGGCAGACTCTTGCAGCGCAGCTGTAATAGCGTTCTACTCAGATTGTGGCACAAGAAGAACACGAAACACGATATCTTCGAAGCTCACATCGAAGATAAGAGCTCGCACTCGATATACGTCAGACTGAGCAAAGAATGCGTGACTTTTTGGGAGCTGGAGGCGCACAACGAACTCGAGGTCGAAGTACAATTCATGTTGAACCGTCTGAACTTTTGTGAATGGCACTTGGCGGTGGATAGCCTCGAAGATATGGACCTGGTGTTCCTGATGACCGAACAACACAAGACCAACAATGAAATTATCCGCGACTTCCTGCAGGTTGACGCCGGCAATCTCAGCATCCTCTCTAGTCTACTACTGGATTCGCCGCTCAATCATGAACAGAAGCAAGCAGTCACTGCGATAACGTTGTCGATTAAGAGTTCCTCGCCACCGGTCCTTTTGCTGGGGCCATTCGGCACGGGGAAGACATTCACCATAGCGCACATGCTGCGTATGCTCGTGCTAAATACGAACAATCGGATACTTCTGTGTACGCACAGCAACAGCGCCGCCGATCTTTACATCAAGGAGTTCTTCCACATCTGGTACCAACAGGATAAACACCCCAGACTCAAGCCCGTTAGGATATATTACAAATTGCGTTCTTTGAATACGGTAGGTAAACGACGTTGCCTTGTTTCTTGAGCATTGCGGGGAGAACTACTATCTCTCAATAAGCGACTTGGTTATTCTCGCGATTTAGGTGCATCCGACGGTGCTGCAGTACTGTCTAATGGACGAGCACGGTCGTTTCCGCGACCCGGTTGCGGAGGATCTTCAAAATTGCGGTCTAATAGTGACCACCCTGGCAACATCTAGCTGTCTGATGAGTCTTAAATTATCGCTGAGTCACATAGTCATTGACGAAGCGGCCCAGGCCATGGAGTGCGAGGCGCTGATAGCTCTGACTCTGGCGAACCGCGAGACTCGCCTGCTCCTGGCGGGCGATCAGATGCAACTCGCACCGGAAATCTACAGCGTACTCGCGAACGAGCGAGGGCTAGGCGTTAGCCTCCTGGAGAGAATGTACTCGTACTATCCGCCGGAACACCCATGTCGGATACACTTGTGTCAAAACTATCGCGCGCACGCGGATATAATCAAGTACACGTCCGAGACGTTCTATGACGGGATGGTGAAACCTGCCAATATGAAACTGCTGAAGCACCCCGTCATGAAGCCGTTGATATTTTATGCTGTCAACGGCGCGGAAGAACAGGTACACGGATCACTTAGAAACATCGAGAATAATGCAGAATTAAAATGCTTGGTGCGATCTGTCTGAACGAAGAGAAAAGAAACGTATCTTCTATGCATTTTTAAATTTCGTCAATTTACTATATATATTTACAAATTATTGTGTACCTATGGGTCATACGAAAGCAAAAAAAGATATTCTTAAACTGCAAATTTTTTAAATCGGAGATTATTCTTTCTGTAGAAGACAATTTGTAGTGTTTTTTTTTATTACATTGTTTAATTGAATTTTAGAGGATTCAGATTGATTTCTGATTGTTAGGCTACATGTTCCACGGGATATCATCATGCCACGGAGGCAGAAGAGCTAGCGAATCGCGTCCTGGAGTTGAGGAAAGAATGGCCGACGCCACAATGGGGCCCGTATGACGAAGGCTCCATTGGAGTCTTGTCGTATTATCCTGAGCAAGTACAACGATTGCGAATCGAATTGCGCAAGCGTCGGCTCTTCGACGTGTCCGTCGAGAGGGTGTTGAACGTCCAAGGCAAACAATTCACTGCAGTTTTTATCAGCACAGTCCGAACAAGAATCTCTGATAGGTATCAACTTTTTAATACAGACGACACGCATTTTAGAACGCTTGTACACACATACATATTGATTATTTCGATTGTTACAGATCGTCTGCGGAAGTAAAAATCAAGGATTACGGCTTTTTAACGGATCCACGCTTATTGAATACCGCGTTGACAAGAGCGAAGTGTTTCGTCGCGGTCGTAGGCGATCCGGTCGCTCTGCTTACTATAGGTTGCTGCAAAGATCTCTGGAGAAAATATCTAGAAGCGGCTGATTTGTACGGGATGGACCGAAAAGAATTGCAAACGCATCTGAATCAAGTTTCGAAAATCCAGATCTCGCCTTTGAACCCGCACGCGAGGGAATTTATCCCTAGAGCACCGCCTTTATGTTTTGTGCAGTATATTCAAGTACCGATTTTTTATCCAGTATGTTACCCCCCACAACGGCCAATGTAATAATAGCATAGTATGAAATCCGAGAATTTTTATCGATTATTTTGTGACACGGCCGTCCGTTTCACGAGTCTCGAAACCATCACGTTTCGCTGGTACTACTGTCAGCACTCTCTTCGATCGTATCGATCGCGCTATAAAACGAGAAACTATATTTAAACTTCTCTACGTGTGCATTGATTTTACAATTTTTCATTTGTGCGATGGTATGAGTGTCTATATAATATGCATATGTAAATTGTGTATGTAAATTGTATGTTAGTTTATCTTTATTAAGATGCATATCAGAAGCGTTTTATTGACGTGGAAGTATAAATCTCTTTTTGATGTACGAATGAATATTATCTACTAATGAATTATTAAGAGAAAACCTCGAATATATTTCGTATTAACGATTTGTTGAATTTTTCTTAAAACATTCTTCCTTTTATTTAGACAATGTGGACATAATTTTATATATAGTATTTCATGTAATGTACAGAGCGAGAATTCCATGATCAACTTATTTTATATTTAGATTTTCTTTAGATTTAACATCATCGGTTACAAGACAATGTATTTCTAAATAACAAGATGCAAGAGTTATATGTATATATACATATATATATTTTATGTAACTTTATTTTTATTTAGGAGGAATAAAAATATAATTTCGTAGAAAGGCGTAAATGTTCATTCCCCGATTTCTTCGCTAGAAACCCACCGTAAACCGTATCTCGAGCTACGCGAAGATATACACACTCCATTACGCTAATGAACGGGCATCTAAAACGTCGCGTGTTAATTTTCTCGTATTAATAACGCGATGTTATCCCCCCGGAGGGGCGATGGTGTATCAGGATATACAACGGCGACAGGTAACATCGTTGATACGCGACCCGTGGTATTGTCTAATGCCTGAAGGCAGAGCACGTAGACCGGCGTGTACACGCAGACACGTATGCTATGTGCATCTTCGATGCCGCAGCATCCACGAATATTCGATACGTAATTCTATGCCGCGACTTGTCTCCCGCGCGATCTGATCTGTCGCTGTTAGCAGTATCGTCTCACAGAATATCCGTATATGTTGACGCTAATTGAACCGGGACGGGCGAGGGTTTCCGCCTATAAGGAATATTACAAGTTTCGCTCCCGACGCTAAAACGATACGCATTAGCATATCCGATTACATTAGTAATTTGAGCAATTACATTAATCCAGTTCGGGCGCGAGTGGAATATGCGGGATATGAGGAATTCGATAAAATATATATATAACTCGAAGAAAGATACAACATATTATCATGTATGTTCATGTAATATTAATTGGAATTTAACGATATTAGAATGCGATTCTTGCTGAGGTCGCGAGTCTCTTCGTCGGATAGTTCAGTCGGGATTTTATCGGGAATGAACGAAGTTTTATTGAAAAATCTTAAGCTTGTTGAATATTCAGCCTTATCACGGAAAATATTGCAGCAATCCCGGGGATCGAATTTCACGCGGCGCATACCTGCGCGATCGATTTCTCATCGAGCAGCGAAAAGGAGAAATATTACCGGAATTCCGTCGATAATTCCAATCGTGTTTCCTCTAATTACCGGGAAAATTAAATATTGTTAGCATACACGCGCGCGTGAATATGCAAGTTTACGTGCAAATATATACGTCGTACCTTCTCATTTCTTGATTAGCCAGACCGAATATTTCCGGGAAGTGATTTTAATACGATCGGGCACGGGTAATTTCTCCAACAAATATTGGTTTTCCGTGCACAATGTTCCACGAGGCAGACATTCGCGGTCTGAAGCTCCAAAGAGCCAGAATAATAGATGTATCCGGTTTTTTTAAATTGCGCCGTCGTTTGGAAAATTCGTTAACGTTTAAAAAATGACGGCGTATTTTCAACCCTTTCAACGTGAGGAACGGCCGTGTATGAAAACACGTGTCTGTCTATTTAATGTATGTACTTTATACTCGTTCGCAAACACTTGCGGAATTCTACGGAATAAGATCCGTACCATCGTGGCCGGCCGTGCCTTCGGGACGATAAAAAAAAGGAAGTAAACAATAGAGAAGAGAGGAAAAAAAGGAAAAACGTCGCGCAGTACCGGTGGCAATTAATAAAAGGTAACGAGAGTATCGGGGTAAATGAGGATACTCGAGAAAGAGACTCGTTTTCCGCGTCCGCCTACGCGGGAATCCTCTCGAATCGACGATAAAAACAAATCGATCGCCGGGCGGGACGTTTAATTAGAAGCAAATAGTTACAGGGCGCGGACGCGCTTGTGATAGAACTTTGTTATCTTATCGGAGCCAATTACAACGACGCTCCCACCCTCCCGAGGGAGCGCTCCAACGGCCACCGGTACCACCGTAATCGCGATTATTAATACCAGTAATGGCGCTTCCGGTGGTTGCGTCTCGACCCGGCTCGTTTGTCCCACGAATCCCTAGCTTGAAAATTCAGCTTATATACCCCCGCCGCGTAACCGTCGAGGACATTTCCCTTCGTTAAACTATCGCCACGCCGCCGCGCCGCGGCTGTACGCTCGCCTCCTCTTTAACTCTCCGTTCTGGTATGCAAATGAATTATTATTGGCGCGAGGGTGAAACGAATCTCGAACGTTTTATTCGCGAGACGCACGATATTCCCCCGATCGGCGAAACGAGCGAGATCCGGCGCGTTTCGCGCCAGCCAGTCGTGCACCACTTTGCGTGCGCGTAATCGCGAAGTCGGATAAGCGCGAAGTCCAAAAATACTATCTCTACTTGAAGCATGCAGCGTCCGTTTCGTGAGCGAGATAAGACGCTTTTAATGTCCGCGAACGACTTACGGAACTCGCGCAATTATCTCGATAGATAAGACGCCGCATCTCGCGACGACTGCGTGAGATGAATAAGCGAAATGGTGCCAAACGATTTCGCCACACACTTATCAACAAGTGTTATTTCAAACAAAACGAGAAGCAAAGAATTGCGAACAATCGACTCCGAATGTGTCTCCGCATGTTAACCGATCGACGATTGAAAATCTGATATCGAAACTTGCGAACGGATAATTAACTTGCAATTGTCCTCTCGCGCGGTCCGCTCGTTTCCATCGAATTGCGTTAAATAAAACGATAATTCTTATCGAGACGCGTATCGCGTTCAGGCGTGCCTTTCCCAACGGCAAAATTACATTCGCGTTTACTCCAGCCGGTACCGAATACTTTTCGGAGTTCAAAAGTGTTCAAGTGCTTAAAATCATTTTCTTCTCAAAAATACTTCTTTATCTAACAGTATCGTTAGATACTGTTTACAAAAATAATGATTAAAAATTGAAAAATGATTAAATAATAAATTAATTTAATAATAATTTAGTAGAAAAAAAAATTAGATATGAATAGCATTAAAAAATACCGTCGTGGTAAGAGATCAAGTATACAAATATAACTCTTTGTATGCATATAATATACCGAGATGGATTCGACATAGTGCTTTGCAATTTTCTCACAATTCTCCAAGAATTCAAAAGTGCATGATAGGTAAATTACATTTCTGAAATCTCAAAATTTCTTCAAATAATATAAATTAAATTGATCCCGCACATGGTACTTCTCGGATTGTAAACGAAAATATTCGGACACTTTATCCGTGGATTCGCCCAAATAGAACGGGCGACACGTGCAGTTTTCGTGCGCACGGTAAGCAGTGCATAAACGCCGGGAGCGTGCAGAGCACTCGTACGTTATCTCCATCGGTCCGCGTACGTGTGTCCATTATACACTCGCTTTCGCGGCTTGTTCACATGTGTGTGCCCACGCGCCTTCGAGTTCCACTCCGTATGAAATGGCCATCCCGTGACTGGATTGCAATCGCCGAACTTTGAACATCCATGCAAAACGGAAAACGGAACGTGGCGCGGCGCAACGGTGAAGAGGGAAAAGAGGTATAGAGCCGCCAGGTGCGCCCGCCGGCAGACAAGGCAGGCAGAAGGGAAACCCGGTTCAAATCGGCGATATATTCTTCGCGAATGATTTTCCCCTCGCTATACGTATTTGATAGTTCGGCTATGATGGACGGCTACGATGGGTGATTTATCGCCGGCTCGGGAAATCCCGAACTCCGCTCCGCTCCGCTCGCATGAGTAATTATTCGGCAGATAATAATCTGTTTCTGCAGAGGCGAAACTTGAGACGGAAACTTATCGCCGTTACGCCGCGCGTTATCATCGGGCCAAACAAGCGAAGAGGCCTAATTCTCAATTTTGTTGCGTATCTATATACATCAACAAACGTTACTTCGAATAAAGTTTAATGAAAAATTTTTAATAAAAAGTTACGAGCTATACGAATCACATACTGATTGACGACAGCTGAGATGGACGAGATCTCTGTCTGTCGTCTGCGAAAAATTACTTTTGCGCATGAATGATTTTGAATAATCGTCGGGACTTCTCGGTGTGATACGCGTTTCATTCAGCGCACTGACGATACGCTAATATCATCAGACGGTTTATAAACGCGTTATAAAAAAGATCCTCGTCCGCCCGGGTTTCTGATCGATTTGGAATTAACGAAATTCGCACGCGGTGGAGGCGGACCGCGCGAGCGCGGTCTACGCGGGATTTCGGTGCGTGACCGGCCGCGCGCGCGATCCGATTGCGATCCGATGGCGAGTTGGTTTTTTTGAATGGCCATAGAAATTGGGAGCGCGGGGATGAGTAGAAACCCTCCCGCGCCGACACACGTGACGCGACGGGCGCACGCTCCTCCTCATCGTGTCGCGTGTCCGTGACAGGATTTTCTCGAGAGCGAGTCGCACGCGCGGTCGTCGACGGTGTGTTAAATTCCGCGCGGGATCGCCCTACATAAATGTTGCTGAAAACTTTTCCGTTGTCCCGCGCGTATTACTCGTTTCGCCGCTCCCGTTGCGCCGGACAGAAATGCCTAAACTATACTCTGGATTAATGGCACCGCGGTTTTGCGAAACGAGCGCAGTGTTCCGCAGCCGGGAAACAGAAGAACGTATGGTTCGGAAAGTTACTTTTCCTAAAAAAAACAATATAAATAAATAAAAAAGAATAAAAATTTAAATAAATAAAATAAAATCCGCGAAAGCTTAGATCATAGAAATAAGTTAATTAAATACAAATGACGAAGCTTTAGATTAGAGAAATCGATTAATTAAATTTGATCAGATTAAAGATTAGGTATACGTAAAAAAAAACGTAGATCCCTGGTATTTATTTATTTGTTACTTTTTTGTGGAAAATAAAAAGTTTGCGCGTTATAATAAAAGCGATTTTGAAACCGCGTTATGCCATTATCTTTTAAACGATTATAGACAACTTTAACGTGACTTCTTTTCTGCTTTGTAAGTTACGGAGCTTGTTTTCTCGATTATAGCCAGCGGTAAAGAGATAATTTTGGTTTTACGCTCCTACGCAGCTCCGTCACGAGATTACGTTCCGTAAATGGACTTGATCACTTTGGGATTCAATTTTACGATTATCTCTCCGCAGCACAAGTGTTACCGATTTTAAGTCGGATCGGGATCCGATTCTTAATGTATTCACTCTCTTCTTATTTCCTTTCGCCCCATTTCCCTTCTTATCCGCGAAAGGTGGTCGAAGGCATCGGTATCGAATCAGGCAGCATGCCAAATCGCACCCGCGGGAAGATAAAGAAAAAGAAAAGGACAATCAGCCGGAGCGCGGGAGAGCCATTCGCGGAAGAGTCTCCCCCATGAAATAGCCCTCCTCCCTTAATCACCTTTCGTTTTAACGGCCCTCTTTTGAGGGAAATGGAACGAGGAAGTAGTGCCGGTAAGTGCCTCGGTGATCCACTTTTTCGATGTTCGACGTCGTACAACTTTGATATCACACATTATTTTATTTTTATTCGACCAACGTTCAATTAACGCTGGTGTCGCGCCGATCAATAACAATTTTCGCATGATATGTCATAATACAATAAAGTCAAACAGAACCTATTCATGATAACCGAAAGAGCCCCGAAATTTGATTATTTGCCGTTATGCGTATCGGCGAAAAAAAAAGAGAGATTTAACAGGATTCGATAGCACGAACAAAAATTATTTCTGCAGAATGATTCGTTACATGTGGCTGATCAAATATCGGTACACCGAACGAGTATACATGCGCCTAGTGAAATGTTAAAAAGGGAGAATAAATAAAAAAAAATATATATCGACGGCAGCATGCACGACAGGGTATCCGTACCAATAGCAACAGCACAAAGGGCTGCAATCTCCCCGGCATCCGCGAGTAAAAACGGGAAACGACTTCTGGCGCGGGTTACGCAAGACACGGAAATGTATTGAAAACCTCTCGGGGCTCTGAAAATACGGGTAACGCGCGTTTTGTGGCGAGCGTTAAGGAAATCCCGAGATCGACAGGGCGTCTATCCAGCCGCGCAACGGATATACGTTACACACCGACGGCTGGCGATATCATAATTAATGGGAATCGAAGGGAATCACGTTCTCGCATAAAAAAGAAAAATCTCATCGCGTAGATGTTACCTTACCTTTTCAGAGTCGCCAGTCGTTGCTCTTGCGCCGTGATGTATCCGTTTAACGTGTCGATCAGCACGGCTTCCGTTTCGAGCAGCTCCTCCATATCCGCCAGGGCGGTGTAAAGTTCAGCCGCGGCATCGCGTGCCGTCGCCGACAGCAAAATCGTTACGACGGCTAACAGAGTCGCCTTCCTCATCTCCGATCGATACTGTTAATTAAAAGGAGATTTCTAAATATAAATTATAATACTTATAAGTATATTTACATAAATAATATTCAAACAACGCTGATACGCTTATAAATTTTGTTCACGAAGTCATGTCATTTGCAAACAAGTTCTGTGATAATAAGTATGACAGTGTTCCACTTCTGTGAAATCAATACATTTTTTTACAAGTCTTGATTTAATTTATATATTGGCGCTTCGTAAAAATCTCTGATACATTTTGAAAAGAATTCGGGAGATAAAGTGTAAAAAATAGACAAACTTACGACGCAAATTCAACATTGTGTTTTATTTTAAGAAAATAATTTTATTCTTCATATATTCGATTACGTTTCCATTTTCAGTGTCGTTTTCATTTCTACCTCATTAAAAATGAAGAGATTCCGAGCTTATATTATTCATACATCATTTAAATAATAATTTACGCTTTAATGTGGCTGCTCATCTCGCTGAAGTTTCACCTCAACTTCATGTTATACCAGAACCGAGTTGCGGTTCGCAAACACACATTGGCTCGATCCCATCCTCGCGGCATCCCACTGTTCTCGGTAAAAGAGCGACGCGAGTGCCCGGAGCCGCGCGTACTTTGGTCGGGCGTCGAAATTTTCCCACGAAAAGCGTAACTCTCGTAGCTTCCGCCGTCGAAAGTCGCGAATCGGGGGGGATGATGATGTGTCACCACGAGCGTACGGATCGGCGCGCGTGCGCGTGTTTGTGTTGCGAAAAGTTGCGGCTAGCGGCGAGGAGGACCGGAGTTTGCGCTGATCGCACAACTTACACCTGTCGGAACGACGATTTATTCCGTCACGTCGACGATGGTACATCGTCTAAACTTCTCTTCTATATCTTTTCCACACCCACCACCACATCCCTCTCAGTCCTCTTAAGCCACCGCGGCCAATCTCTCGTTTCGCGTGTCACCCTCTCGCGTAGCTTTTCTGCCTCCCTCTCGTCCCACACTTTGCGGCCGCGCTCGAGAGCCGTTCTCGTGGCGAGTGGATTGAGAGAGTGAGGCGTGTCAATACGCGAATAACTCGGCGTTACGATATTCGATGCTCTCGTGCAAAGCGCGAAGAGATTACGCACTTAAAGGATCGCGGCTACTTTGGGATCATTCGCAAACACTTTGTTGGAGTTGGACTCCAACGGTGTGATAGCTCCTTCTTTCAGAAGAGCAATAAGTGATTTCAGAACGAATCGCAGAACTTTATCTCAATAAAGTTTACGATATCGATTGTCATGGAACTGAAGAAATGCTGGTATTGTGCATTTTAATGTTTCTCAAATAACTCTCCCCTCCTCATAAAGTCGCACAAATAAATTATTCGCTTAGAGTAATAATTTTCGATATCGATCTAAAATGTTACAAGTAATTTTTGAAACAAATTCAGAAAATTCGCAAAAAAATTATTAATAACTAATGTATGATTCAATCAAGTAATATCAAGTAATCAATAATTATATAAATAATTCAGTGCATCAGTAATTAATGTACATATACAGCTAATAAATTAATAAATTTTAAAGTCATCGGTCGGTTCTAATTAACTAATTACCCAAAAGTTTTATAAATATCGAAAGTAATAAAACTGTGCTGAGAAAATGTACAACTTCCGCGTAATAATTCTTTCTGCGAGCAGGCGAGAGGAATGCGGCGGCGAAATGACAGCGATCCTCGCTATTTTTCCACCGGCGGCTATTTTTTCGCCCGTTCCTCCCATCTCTCCGCTGCAACGGTCCTAATTACGCGTACCGTAAATTGGCTCGGCTCCCTCTCGGCCCCTCTTTCATCGCCGTGCCTCCTGGTAATCGAGCTTGAAGCCACCTCTGAGGCGAATTAAACGTGGACCACGTGGCCACGTGTACGCGCGCATTGTTACATGTATTCGGTGACACCAAGACATCGCCGTCTTGACGCGGACGAATCGCTTGCGCAGATTTTTCGCCGTGATCCCTTTCATGCTCTATTAACACTTCCTGTTACTCAATCTCCTACCCTTTTTCCCTATCCCTTCGGTTTTACTTTACCCTTTTTGTGTCGGATCCTCGATCCTCGGGACGGCGCTCTTTGCAGCGGCGGATTAAAGTATACTTAGAAGAGTACGAGCCCCATCTTCAAGAGCTCCCTATCTTTTCGCTATTAAAAATTTAAGAATTAAGGGAAAAAGTCGCAGAATGTTAAATGTCATTACTTGCGCAAAGATTAATAAAATAACATTAAGAAATGGAGTTTTCCCCGCATTCGGAGACAACGCGCAACGTCGGGAAGATTAATCGACTAGATAATGGGAACCCTGATTATTGAAAATCGAATAAAGTACTTTCTTGGATATTGCAATCTTCGCTTACCGCCCCGCAAAAGTTAGCCTCGCTAATCTAACTCCATTTTACGATACGCCACAGATAAACCGCACGAGACACGCTAGATGTATCTTTAACCGTATAGCACCATGTGGCTTATACCTGTCATAAAAGATTACAGCACTCGGCAAATTGCCGTCCAAGTTATCTAATCAAATCGAAGTTTTCCAACCACCCGGATGCACACACATACACACATGTGAGCAAAAAGAACAAGTCTATATAGAATTATTAAAGGATTTCTCGAAAATGTCCACCCGCTCATCGCCCTGCAAACTACCAAACGAATGCTTACAGTGATTACTTACGCAGTCTAGAAAGCCATATTTTACAAAAGGAAGGAATTCCACGCGCATATGTCTTTTTTTCATATTATTATTTATAATTTTGACTACCTATTCATCGGGAATGGACTATCAAATACTACCAAACAACCACCAACCGAGTGGTAATATAGTTTCGTTAGTGAATTTTCAATAATGGGGGAGGGCCAACTTCATACAGCTACCCTGCAAAGCAAAGAAGGACGACGTAATAAACGGCGTCACCCTTTTCTCTTCTCTTGCGGTAGCCATTTTTTTCGCAGGTCACCGTGATTCTTTTCAGAACTTGAGCCCGGCCTCGCGGTAATTCGCTCGACGAGAAAGTTTTTTCTTTCGGGAAAGCGCTTAATTAATGCCGCGGTCCTTCGGTGAGATTACAGCAAGCCCGAATTTCCAGCAGGACCAGGAGAATTCAAACAAAAATTACTTCCTCCACTCCGCTATTTGCGGCATACCGGTCCGCGAGAATTTCGCGCTAATTAGCAATTAACCAGCTCGAGATCCTGGCGCGAACGCGATAGAATTCGCCGGCGCGCGTCGCCCCTTTTGTCCGACGACTGGATCGCGAGTTATTCATCGGCGACGTGTCTCGATATTAATCAGCGTATGTCCGCGAAACGCGAGAGACTCGCTTGTAATCGAAACGGGAGAGCGCGCCAGTCGGATACTCTCGGCCAGCCGATCCTCGGATGCGGTTTCAACGCGACGGATTCCCCAATCCCTCTGATAGCTTCGGACCTCACAGCTCACGTTATCGGGGATATCGCGCGCTCAATATCCCGCGCGATATCGCGATCCCCGTTATCCGGCCTTCGGTGAGACGACCGTGAATGCCGCTAATAAGACCGCGGCGCGACAGGGTCGCGCGAGCAAAAAGAGGCCGCCCGACGGGTGGCGGTGGCTTTCAAAGCGCGTTGCAGCTTCAAAATGGTAATTTCACGGCCTCGCGAGCATCTCGCCCGCGGCCAATTTAATTCCGGACAGATGATCGCGCCGCCGCCGTCGTCGTCTCGTTCATACTGTCCCTTTATTTTTCTCCGTCTGCCTTTGTCTATCCGGTCCGCGACGCCATTCGAACTACTCGTTATACACCCCGGGCGCGACCTTGTGACTTCCATCCGTTCGCTTCTTTTTCGAAGGGTCGCTTTCGCTCGTTCGCGCGAAGGGTCGAGTCTCTCTCTCTCTCTCTCTCTCTCTCTCTCTCTCTCTCTTGCCCATCTTTTTGTACTTTTTTCGCCCCTCGCGCCCCAGTGGCTCTTTCTCACCCCTCAAATTATTTCGATGGAAATTGCTTCTCGTTAGTATCGATCCGCGTTTATAGTATACGAAACTTTCCGATCTCGCCATTAACGGAGGCGATCAAGCGTCGTCTTCAGTCAATACTCAACCGGCGCTACAATCCTACAGATTATTAAATCCCTTAGAATACACGATGTTGTTCATCACGGCGAATGTCTGCGCAGAGAAAGTTACTCGGGAGTATATCATCCGTAAAACATTTTAATGTCGCGTGTTAGAGGAGAATTATATTTTAAGTGACGCACGAATATTACAGTGACGGAGACCTACCGCGAGATAAATTGTTTACGAGCAACGCCTCGAACGAAGTTACGTCTATTTAAATTTCTTCCATCGCTATATCCATCATTTTGTCCCAACTCAAATTAATTTAATACCGAGGGGGCTCTTATTATTCCGATCCCGTCAAGATTCTCACGGTTCGGAATTCCGACGAGAAATTCTCGTCGACTAAGTTCATCGATTCTATACCTCATTGAATCTAGTCGCCACAGTTGGATTGGGCAAATGAGTAGAAAACGTTCTGCTGGATCGTCTCCTTGCGTTATTTAGAATCAATTAAGGAGCGAAGAAAATTTCGCGAATTATCGTCGATAATTTGCGTGTCTGCAGTCTAAAATGCCTTTTTCTTGATATCTATAAAAAATATCTATAGAACTGAAATACATTTTATTTTAGTACGTAATACTTGAAAACAGCTCAATCAATAAATAATGTCAATAATTAATGCAGTTTTCAGACGTCTCGAAGTGTTGATTAAAATAAAATAAACCTCATTCTATAAATATTCTATATAAATAGAAGTCTCACTCAGTCTATACAAATAGAATTCTGAGTTTGTTGCACTCCTCTTTTCCAATCGTTCGATTTATTTGTCGAGCTCTCGTAAATGTGCGCCAACTTTCGTCAGAATTAAAAGCGAGATCTCCTCCGTGAGCTGCCGAGCTCTCGAAAACCGGTAATGTACCCCCGTGAAATTTCGAAACTCACCGATGCCAT